AATATAGACTGTACGATCATAACGTGATACAATATTTTAAGCAATAATAGATGCGGATACTGGCGGGGAGGTGAAACACATTTGTTTACTTTAATAGTAAGCACATGTTCGGCGGGTTGAGGAGTTGAAACACATTTTTTTACATTTTTATCAGTTAAGCTGAGGATTGCCTCGATATGTCGGGTTCAGTTTAACTGCCTAGGTCATGAGTAGAAACGAAGGATCAAAACATATGTTGCTTGTTGCTCATATCAACTATAAAACATCAATTTTGAGCAATAAGGAAGTTTTTATAGGTTCTGAAACCTAGCTAAATCGATTTTTCGTGCAATTTTAGGTCAGAAACAGTCATCTAAATGAGTTAATAAGAAGGTCGATTTCTCGGTTATTTTTGAGCTTTCGTTCAGAAAATAATTCGGGGCCTTAAAAGGGGGGTAACAAGAAAGCGTTACAAGTGTTACAAGCCTTCTATAATACAAAATGTGTATCACCTCTTCAACCCGCCGAACATGTGCTTACCCTAAAAATGTAAACAAATATGTTTCGCACCTCCTCAACCCGCCGCGAACATGTGCTTACTATTAAAGTAAACAAATGTGTTTCACCTCGCGGCCAGTATCCACATCTATATTTACGAGTATTATTTTGTTAAACGTTGTATACCTCTTATCTTTTTTTCGCGAAAAGAGGTATACAGGGATGATGATTAATTACTCTACACTCGACTGTCAGTGTCACGTGACTTTTTCAACTTGTTCTCTAGCTGATCCTGAACGACTATTCGAAACCATAACTCTCTAATCTGATCCCAACCCTAACCCTAACCCAATCCTTAACAAAAGCATATGCTGAAACCCTAACCCTAACGAGAAATTAGACTAACTTCCTTATAGTTATACGGTCATTTCACGTGATCAAGACAGTTTTTCGCCAATATCTCGTCAGGGGAGCATTTTAACCCTATACTATGTCATAGGGGGGAGGGGGGTGTGATTCGGAATCAGCGTCCGAAAATACATCGATTGAAGTTGGTTTTAATTGTCGAGGGCCTTTGTAGAACAATCTCGAAGATTGACTGTAGAGTGATTTAGCTCGGGTATACAGCGTGTGTCAAGTATCATTCGTAAATTGACCCAAGACGTCCAATATAACTTATTAATTTAATATGAATAACGTTATGGCGAGCTGAGTTTTAATAAGTTTTTAATTTTAAAACTATAATCATTCAGCTATTAGTAATAGTATTACTATTAATATTATTCAACAATAGTATTTAGTAATACTTTAACAAATATAAATTGAGTATGTACCGCTATTAAAAGTGCTATTTGATTTCCAAATTCCTAATAATTTTCTTCTCGCTCATCACTGAGTTGACTTTATAAGGCAAAATCAATAAAATCAATCCAATAACTTAGTTACGATGCACATACTAATAGTAATACTATTATATGCGTACACTAAAGAAACGTATAGGAAGTTATTACTGATCAATGTTTCAAGACTGATAATCTTACCACCGACCAACAACCAAGTCACGTGTCATTATAATTTCCTTTCCGGATTTCGGGTTGCAGGCACGCGCCATAGCCTGTCCCTACTCAATATGCAAATTTACAAAAACATTGTTCCTGTAAGTATACGTTTGTAAACCCGTTCATCGTAGAATGACGCTCATAACAAAGTAAATACAAATGTACTGTGTAGCTGTGGTATGCGTTACTGGGCGGTGCTTTGCTCTATCCAGAGCCCTTGCGCTTGCAGTGGCGCGAAAGCACATGGTTAGGTAAAGGCTCAGCTTGTCATTCCGCCTATTCCACCAAACCTCAATTCCGCCGAACCTCTATGTTTATGAACATGATAGCCTGGGATCCCCAGGTAATCCGGAGAAAATAGGACAATCAACTTTGTGTTTAGTTCAAGGTAGATGTTTTAAAGTTAATAAAATTGTAATTAAACCATTCATACTTTTATCAATCCAAATCATTAAATCGCGAATCATGAATAGTCTTGAAAATTCTAACTTAAACATTTAAACTGGATTTTAATTTTATCATATCATTTTTGCTTTCACTTTCAGCACCTGATTCGTCCCTGCAATGTGCAAACAACAAAGTTGCTTTAATGAATGCTAGCAATCGTAGTAAGACTTCCACTTAATTAGAGGACGTCACCGCACGAACTATCATTTATCATTTTTGCTTTGTGTAGTGTGTAGTTTTGTTTCGCGTTGATTATTGAGCTTTCTCACCTCATATCTCATCGCTGCAATTCAACGACGGATGATGATTAATTACTCTACACTCGACTGTCAGTGTCACGTGACTTTTTCAACCTGTTCTCTAGCTGATCCTGAACGACTATTCGAAACCCTAACTCTCTAATCTGATCCCAACCCTAACCCTAACCCAATCCTTATTAACAAAAGCATATGCTGAAACCCTAACCCTAACGAGAAATTAGACTAACTTCCTTATTTATATATACGGTCATTTCACGTGATGAAGACAGTTTTTCGCCAATATCTCGTTAGGGGAGCATTTTAACCCTATACTATGTCGGGTGGGGGGGGGGGGGGGGGGTGATTCGGAATCACTAATCAGCGTCCGAAAATACATCGATTGAAGTTGGTTTTAATTGTCGAGGGCCTTTGTAGAACAATCTCGAAGATTGACTGTAGAGTGATTTAGCTCGGGTATACAGCGTGTGTCAAGTATCATTCGTAAATTGACCCAAGACGTCCAATATAACTTATTAATTTAATATGAATAACGTTATGGCGAGCTGAGTTTTAATAAGTTTTTAATTTTAAAACTATAATCATTCAGCTATTAGTAATAGTATTACTATTAATATTATTCAACAATAGTATTTAGTAATACTTAAACAAATATAAATTGAATATGTACCGCTATTAAAAGTGCTATTTGATTTCCAAATTCCTAATAATTTTCTTCTCGCTCATCACTGAGTTGACTTTATAAGGCGAAATCAATAAAATCAATCCATTAACTTAGTTACGATGCACATACTAATAGTAATACTATTATATGCGTACACTAAAGAAACGTACAGGAAGTTATTACTGATCAATGTTTCAAGACTGATAATCTTACCACCGACCAACAACCAAGTCACGTGTCATTATAATTTCCTTTCCGCATTTCGGGTTGCAGGCTCGCGCCATAGCCTGTCCCTACTCAATATGCAAATTTACAAAAACATTGTTCCTGTAAGTATACGTTTGTAAACCCGTTCATCGTAGAATGACGCTCATAACAAAGTAAATACAAATGTACTGTGTAACTGTGGTATGCGTTACTGGGCGGTGCTTTGCTCTATCCAGAGCCCTTGCGCTTGCAGTGGCGCGAAAGCACATGGTTAGGTGAAGGCTCAGCTTGTCATTCCGCCTATTTTTTTCCATTGATCAGACCAATTTGAATTAGGCTATGGATTCAGGATTGCATTAGCATGAGACCCAATTGAGGTTCTAGAAATCGAAATTAAATTCCGGAAAAAGCTTTGCAAAATGAAATAATACCATTGTCCATTACTTCCTTTTGATTCCTTTTTATTCCTTTCTATTCCTTTCTATTCAGATGTTACGTCATAAAAAACATTACGTCATGAAAACATTGGAACATAATCATAGTTCTACTTCTAGTTAAGGGTATGTCGATATTTTCTTATTGTACGTATATTATATTATCATTATAGCATTGTCAAGTGCACAAATCTGATAGTGATAGAACAATGAACAAATATTGGTGCGGAAAAGTGCGGTATTAGGCCAATAGTGCGATTCCGCACCCACTGCACTTTAATACTAGTGAACTACCTCTGGATGGGACCAAGATGCTGGTGATGCAGCAAAGTATGAAATATATATTATTATGTTTCAATGTTTCTTAGGATAGTCGACAAATGGTGCACCACCGTTTGTATATTTACCCCCTTATATGGCTATCAAAAGATAAGCACTAAAGATAAGACCTCTATCCATTTTCATACCAACATGCTTTAAGGTATAAAACAATCATTATAGTTCAACATAATTGATTAAATTTACTTTCTACTGATTCAATTAGCGCTGTAATATTAATCAGTCCATTAATTGTAATCAACATTACCGATATAATCTTGGTACAGCGTTACACTTACATTTAAACCCCTTATTCCCAGTGCAACCATTTATTTGCCGTTGACAATAGTATCGTTTCACCAGTGCCTGGTCATGTACTGATAATCAGTGAGACTGATACCACAAGAATCAGTTGCTGCGTTGCTGTGAGCTCCTTTAAAGCTATAATGGTGTATGTTGTGTGTGTGTGTGTGTGTGTGTGTGTGTGTGTGTGTGTGTGTGTGTGTGTGTGTGTGTGTGTGTGTGTGTGTGTGTGTGTGTGTGTGTGTGTGTGTGTGTGTGTGTGTGTGTGTGTGTGTGTGTGTGTGTGTGTGTGTGTGTGTGTGTGTGTGTGTGTGTGTGTGTGTGTGTGTGTGTGTGTGTGTGTGTGTGTGTGTGTGTGTGTGTGTGTGTGTGTGTGTGTGTGTGTGTGTGTGTGTGTGTGTGTGTGTGTGTGTGTGTGTGTGTGTGTGTGTGTGTGTGTGTGTGTGTGTGTGTGTGTGTGTGTGTGTGTGTGTGTGTGTGTGTGTGTGTGTGTGTGTGTGTGTGTGTGTGTGTGTGTGTGTGTGTGTGTGTGTGTGTGTGTGTGTGTGTGTGTGTGTGTGTGTGTGTGTGTGTGTGTGTGTGTGTGTGTGTGTGTGTGTGTGTGTGTGTGTGTGTGTGTGTGTGTGTGTGTGTGTGTGTGTGTGTGTGTGTGTGTGTGTGTGTGTGTGTGTGTGTGTGTGTGTGTGTGTGTGTGTGTGTGTGTGTCGGCTAAATGGTTCTTGTTTTACTTCTATCATTTGTTTTAATAGCTGTTTTCGCGTGAAGATTTTGAATTTGTTTTAGGTTTTGGTTACTTATTATAAGGATAACAAACTTCTCTGCCCGTCACAGAGATGGTTTTGTCATTGGAAGACTTCGTTCTGACGGGAGGGGATTTGGGGAGGTACCAGATATTTATAGCCATTGTATCTTCGTCTACGATATGCATGCACACCTTCTGTCTTACACTGGAGGTCAGATTGAGCTAAAATTTCAGCGGAGCACAACGTGCTTCAGCTTTACTTGCTATTTAAAAATGTGTTATTATGTGTTGCTATTTTTAAAGATATTTCTGAATTTTTTAGCTTAAACGAAACGCCACAAACACAATTCTTATACATATAGTTTTCTTAACGGACGATTCAACTTTGTAAGTGGAAATGAACTTTTTTGGTAGTAAAACTGTTATGTAGTCAACTATAATAGAATTACAACTAATACTCTTAATTCTTCTCAAAATTAATTCACTTCCAACATTACAGGTGTTCACAGCCCTGACTCCAACCTGTCACTTTGATGAAGGTTCTTGGTGGTGTCCCAAGAAATGCTCCTCCCTAAACATATGTTATCCTAAATATTGTAACTACACGTGGGACCAGCCGAACTTGTCCATTATATCCGAGTTTGACCTTACTTGTCATGATGCGTATAAGGCTAAGATAGGCGAGTTTTAGATGGGTTTGAGATCGCGGTTCAATAAAATAAAATTAGCATTTTATAAGTTTGAGAATCAAAATTCCAACCTTTTTTGAATATTCTGAAAATGTGATTTTTATTTGGCCAGGAACAACTGTAAGAGTATTTCACTTTTCAAGTTAAAATCATTTTGATTTCAGTATCCTCATACGCTTTCCTGGGCTATACATTTGGTTGTTTATTCTGGGGATGGGTAGGGGATAAGATCGGAAGAGTACCAACCATTCACCTGTGCCAGTTCTTAAACACCGGTCTACTATTCCTTACTTCCCTTACACCTACTTACGAGTGGTACTGCCTGGCTAGGATACTTACAGGTTACTAAATTTTCAGTGGAGGGGGGGTACTTACTTCTTCATCTCGCTGTATTCAGAGAACATTTAATGGGAGAAGGTTTTAGTTACAGGTTTTATTGTTAGAACTGAGCTACAGTTGCAAACTCTAAATTTCAGATAATCTTATTTTCTGCATCAATATACCCGATCAATTCTTATCACGTGTTATCGCAGGGTTTACAGCATGTCACTGGAATACGGCCTGTGTGTATGCTACTGAGTGGGGAGGCAGGAAGAACCGATCCTTCACTCTCGTAGCCCATATTTTCTATATGAGTGTCGCCTTCGCCCTCTTTGGAACTCTGGGTTCGTACACTTTTCTGTTTTCTTGACTGTTATCAAATATTTGTTTATAAACTCTTCTGCTTCATCGACTGTTTATACTTTTATAAATTTGTTGTACTTCATCAACTGTTTATAAATGTGTATAATTTACATTACAATACTTTGGTGGAGGTTGTAATTTCGTGGCAAATAAGTTATCATAAACACTTTTTACCACGATCCCTCTTTATGAGATCTGATTAGCTAATATCTGTCACTCTCTCCAGCTTACTACATAAGACCATGGAGACAGCTAATAGTTGCTCTGTCAATCTTTGGAGCTGCAGCATTTCTCATTATGTTACCGTCACTTAAAGAGAGTCCCAGGTAATTATAACTTCTTATCCTTATAGATTAAATAGGAATTTACGCTGCCAACGAAACTCGTAATTTTAGCATGTTGTTCAGGTTCTATTAGTTTAAGTTGTCATAGTCCGTTCAAAACTGTTATGTTCAATAAATGTACGAATAAATAAGTAAATGAAGATCTCATATTCGCCAGTATCACTGACCTTTACATACATAACAGGTGGCTGTTTTGCAACGGCAAGAAGGAACAAGCAGTGAAGAATGTACAGTTTGCAGCTAAAGTTAACGGTTTGCCAATCGTGACCATCACCGACGTAGAAGAGGATATTTGCCTCAGTGAATCATCTTCTGCTGGTACAGTTTCTTTAACCTCTCCAGAGAGATCTTATAAGTCCGAGCTATTTCATCATTCCAACACATTTTACACCACAGAATATTACACTACCCGATTTAAATTAATATTTGATAAAACTCTGCAGGAACGGAGAGTGTTTGGTTACTCCTCCAACGACCCCGTCTAATCTTCATCACACTGACCTTCTACCTAACATCAGCTGCCAACGTCCTCATCTACTACATGCTAAAGTTCTCCGCAGAACAGCTGTCTTCCTCGCCCTACCTTAGTTGCTGGTTGTTGTCGTTGTCAGATATTCCCTCTGCTGTTCTCATCCACTTCTGTTCCGAGTAAGTTGAATTATAAATATAAATGATATTACAATCCCGATTCACCAATCACCAGGACTCTTGATCTAAATGCTTTTTGAATAGTCCCTAAAAGGCAGTTTTTTCCCCCAATAATGTTCTGTATTTCAGTTTGAAGAGAAGACCGGTAAACTTCTGGGTACAGACGGTAGCTGTAGCTTTCTGCTTTCTCTGCTGTGTACCACAGGTGGGTGGAGACTGCTAACCAGTATACCTTATCGGACTTTATTTGAACGGACATTAATTGGATGCTGGAGGCTCTAGCGTTCATTTTAATGTCCGTTCAAAATTATATCCGTTAAAAATTATGTCCGTTCACGCAATGTACTCAGGTCAAATAACATCCGATAAGGTAGTTAATAATTCATCAATTAAGTTTATAAAATCATAACCTTAACCAAATGACATCATCTCTTTTAAATTGCAACCATTACTCCCACTTTTTGCTAAAAAATTGCGTTAATTTATCCCCTCTATATATTCGGTAAATGACTCCAACTCCAACTCCACTGCTCCTGCAGATTCGTTTGGCAAGTGCAGTTCTGTGCATGGCGTTCGCAGCGGTTAGCTTCAACTACGTGTACTTGTATCTAGCTGAGGTCTATCCTACTTCTATGAGGAACAGAGTCACTGCTGGGTGCATCGCTGTGGCTGAGGTGAGTAATCATTACGATATTAATTATTTGATTATTATTATTATTTTAGGCTGTAACCTTTTTAGTTCAATGGAATAAACCTAGCATGCCTTGGTTGCAGCATCGCTTCACTTATAGGTGCATATAGGGCCCGATGTAATTGCTATGATCAGTTTACTGGTCAACTGGTGTTTCGGTGTCCCTAATTTTGTTTACACTCGGTCACTTGTCAAGGCATGTAAGGTCATTCGGCGATATTTTCTTTGAAATAAAATGATGTATTTGTGTAACAATTTGAAAGTTTATTGATTTAAAAAAAAATTGAAGTTATTACTTTACTTATTAGCAGTATATGCTTAAAAGAATGTAGCGGCTTAAGATTAACTTCTCGGTTAACTCCTCGGAAAGGAGTACAGTACCAGCAGTTAGAGAGTATTGCTGCGTATTTGGTGCGCTTATCGATCAGTTGTTGATTTTGGACCAAGATGCAATGTTTCTAACAAAATATCATCATCCCTCAAAGATCGGAGGGATGGTGGCAAATCCCCTGGTTCTGACCACTGAAATCTTGGACATCTTACCTTTCCTCATCGCTGCTTCTGTTGCGGTACACGATATTTTTTATCCTAATAACCTGTTATTTGTGAATTAATTTCATTTACAATGTACAAATGGCCTTTAAATTGTTTTTAATACTATTTCACATAAATTTATTTGGCAGGTCGGTCCGACAATAGCATCGTGGTGGTTACCAGAGACCAAGAACAGGCCCCTCCCGGACTACTTCATAGACACACTAAACATCGTGTACACCCCTGAAGAACGGCCCCTCCTCATTGTTCCGGTGGTTGAGTCCCCCAGGAACCTGACCAAGGGTTCCTTCATAGCGGGCCTGAGTGTGGAGTTGGGAGACAGTCTGGACAGTAGAAGGAACATACCAAGTCTTGTGGACACTGAGAGTATTGAGTTACCTGAGTGATGATAGGACATGTTCAGATAGATGTTATTTAGTATTTGATATTTTTTACTGAAGATTTATTATTTATTGAACAGTTTAATCGTTAATCTAGGGATGGTAATTAAACAGTTAATTGTGACCCTTACCATACCATATTTATGAACTATCTCATATAACATAGTGGGATTGTGATTAATTACAAATTTAAAATTCTAGTGGTCTCAATCTGACCCGCTTTTACTTCAACTAGTACTGACTCAGGTTCAGCTTGGTAACATGACCTACCAGTAAACTTTAAGTTGACAGCTTATTGACCCTTTAGTGACCCGATCCGTCCACATGTTTTCATTTGTGACCTTTCGGAGGCTCTTTTACAGGATTTTTTGGACCCCAGGGCTTCACCATTTTTCCGTGGTATCAAAAATATTGGCAATTTATTATATTTTATTTGGTAAATTATACTGTTTAATAGTGTTTACCAGATTAGCAAAAAATGTTTGGATTATCAAGCTAATGCTGTTTATTGGTTTATCTTTCACTTTCAGTGACGGCTATTTAAGAAATGACAGCTCTTTGAAATTATTTGCGTCCATGAATTATCTACTGTTGAGCGCTACTTCTCGAGAAGAACAGAAAATGTTCATTGGAGTCCCAGACAGATGCAGAAGAAAGTTTAGAAAACTCTCATTTGGCTGAGGCCATACCAACAAATACCAAGTACTCCTTCATTGAGAATGAAGAGGAAACTTTCAATTAAGATGATCTCGGCCCCGCCTCTTAACTATGGATGGCATTAAACACAGATAAATAATCTCAGAATGTGTGTCTGTCTGTGTGTCTGTGTGTGCGCGAGTAATTTCCGAGCGGCTTAATCAAGAAAACGGTAAGAGTTACGGGACTGGTTTTTTCATGGCAGTCTATTTGGACTGTAGAGAGAGTTCATACTTTCATACGACAATCTTATGCGTGTTTTCAAATATAATAAGCGGGTTTATACTTTTGCATTTCAACTGCGATATTGAAGTCCCGGCCGTAGGCACGGGTTACACTAGTAATATCATATAACAGTAAATTTACAAATAAGATCATACGTGTATTTCTTTCCAATCACATTTGTATGATGATGTGAAATATAGCTAAGAGTACGAACCTGTGTTAGTAATTCACCACTTGAGTACAATCAGACCATTTTAAAGCTGTGGTTCTCATAATACAAATGTATTGTAGCCGATTCTCCAGTTCCGGTTTATCATCGTCTCAGTTGTAATGTCAGAAAACTGTTCTGAAAGCAAGTGATGCGAGAACAGATTTGGGATAGGACTGTAAGTGTTGTAAGCTGAAACGAGTTGAGATAAGATAATGTCACTGGGTATTGTGTTACAGCTGTTTTGTTATCAGCTCAACATTTGTTGTTCAGCATTCTTTAGTGCAAGTTTTTGTCGTGATTAAACTGCTCTCGATTTTTATCTAACTTTTACGACTTTTGACGTTTTGTAAAATTAAGTCCTCTGATGTGCTCGTGATAAGTCATATAAATTGTCACTATGAAAGTCAACGTTAAAATCGAATCTATCTATACCTAACCTGACAAATTATTTAAATAAAGAATGCTATGACCTAAATGCGGTTATGAAGCGCCATGTTCCCTGGACTAAACTCCCATCACAAGACCAACTCTCTGTGGTTGTATACGATTTCAGGTGCGTCAAGTTATTCCCATTTCTTAGTTTGTTTAATTTGCCGTTTAAAAACGATATTTCAAACTTTGTGAATTGGAAGTGATGCCATGATTAAAGGGTGTTTGCGCGTAAAAGTTGGAGAAATGTCGAATTTGAATCCGAAAAGCCGATTATAAACCCCTCCGGGATAGAATAAGATTCTGATAATCCCGGCTCCCGCTAAATAGATTTTGATAATCCCGGCTCCCGCTGTTAGTTTTTTCCCGCTGAATGAATAACCCCGGCAAAGTTTCTATAATCCCGTCCCGCTAATTTGGCTCAACAAGATTTGTTTTGTTTTGATATTCCATGAGAATTTCAACCGCGCACTGTCACGTGTTTTGATGACGTGTATCACGTGACTAACTACTACGACGCGCATTGGTAAAAAATGTCACGTGACCTATGGCTTAACGTAAGAACTATAAATACACTTGATCTACGTATCGGTCTTACTGCAGGCGCTGGCAAAACTCCAGCACACTGCGTACATTACTTAAACTCTTATATTACTTGGACCAGTTCCAGAACGACGGTTACATTTGTCCGGTTAATTTTGTCGTAGCAATTGCCCTGTTTGATATAAGCCATGTATTATAGTCGTCTACTTTGATGAACTTCATGACACGATATCATTATTAGCTCCACCTTTTATCGCTTGCCAGGCTTAATTCGACGCCCCTTATCGATCTTCATTCAACGTTCTGACTGAGGAATAACGTTTAGATATAACGCCAATTTCAAATATCATAGTACCTTAGTTGTATTTATTTGGTAGTATAATATACTCCCCAATTCCATTTCATATTTTCCATACTGATCTCATATAGCTAGAATTATGAAATTTGTTGGTCCTAGCACTAACCCGGAGGGGTTTATAACACATAACACCGGCACGCTTAAGTTATATTAAAATAACCCCTCGTGCTAAAGCACGTCGGGGTTATTTTCATAATAATCCCTCGTGCTTCGCACTCGAAATTATTATAAATTTTTCCCGCGCGTCGCGGGAAAAATTGAAATATAATCCCTGCGCATGCCGGGGTTATGTGTGTTATAACTTTCGATTATAACTTTCGAGACCGTCGTATCATTTTCTTAAGTGTTTATTATTTACATCAAGGCATAGTTGGTTTAGTTACTAGCTCCCGCAAATATTCGTTAGGTCGATAAAAATTAAATATAAACAATAAATATATACTGGAATCATAACTAATACTATTGAATATTTTTCAGTGAGGATAAAAGACCCTTAATCCCACTCACAAGGCTAGATTTGATGATATGTTTGCAGTCGTACAACAACGAGGTAACTATCATATTCATTTATAAGGATCCCATCTCAGACTAACATATTATAATATGTATAATGTATAATGTATATTGTATAATGTAGTCAGTGCTCCAAAATATTTGCTCCCTGGCTCCCAGCTCTACATTTCTGTAACGTTTAAGAATCCATCTTTCAGTGGTATCGCGGTTACTCTCTAAGACAAGGTTCGCATCACACAGGGATATTTCCCGCCAACAGGGTTAGAAAACTACAACTTCCTGACACAACCGCCAAAGCCAAATACATTTACTGGTCGATTTGGATGAAAATCCTTTGGTCGAAGTATCTTGAACGATTTACATCAGAGCCACCAAACACGTATAACCAGTCTTTGGAGAAGTTCCACAAGGCTCTGTGGTGTATTCATACAGGTCAGGAACATGGCCTGTTGGAGTTAGCCAGCTACTCCAATACCAAAGTACCACCATTCACAGATGGACTCTGTTATGACTGGAAAAGTGTTTCATTTACGGAGCTGAAAGAAATGATAACAGAAAGAAAAAATAACCCAAAGGAGTTCTCAAAGAATTCTAGGATAATGTCTCTTGAGATAAGAAACCTGGTGATGGGGTATGAACTGAAACAAGGTGCAAAAGGTGCATTTCTTATCTATCTTTTTGATGAAGGAAAGGGTTGTCAGCTATCAGAAACATGCAAGGTATCATTCACTACTGACAAACTAGGTAGAATTCCAACGTTGGCGCCGCTCCTATTCAAAGATCTGAAACAATCTTCTGTTCGACCATCTGTCTTCTTATCATTCAGAGTTCTATTGGAGGTTCCGATAAATGAACAGAAGAAGACCACTACCCCGATCTATAAGCTGGCATATTGGGGTAGTTTCAACGTTTCGGAGGAAGTTAAAAAGATGAACGTTCATCTGACAATCTCATCAAATTTACCGTTAATTCCATTCCACTCGGGAGACAAAGCTGTTTTTTCCTCCAAGCGGTATTCGAGACATCTTCATTTATCCAAACAGCAATTCTTGACATACCGAATATGTTGGATACCCCAAGAAGAAATGAACCAAGCAAACAAGATCTGTTTGACAAACATCGGTGAAATATTAAGAAATCCTCCTCTACTCGAGACTAAGCTGTATCTCAGTCTTATCTCAGGCTGGTTTGAGAAAGGGAAAAAGAAAAGCGAGAAAAACGTAGAAGTTTTGATAAGCGTGGTTAATGAGAAAGACGAGGTTATGAGTAAAGCCATCATCGAGGGCCCCGAAAAGAAGCCATGCTATAGATCGAGTGTAACAAGACATTGCAATTCTCCCCTGTGGAATGAAATGGTTACAATAGCTATGCCAGATTCTGCATTCAAAGTATGTTTCGTCAAGTTTGAGTGTACTCACGTGACGAGCTCGGAAATATCTCACAAGACTTTTCTGAAGTGGATCACATACCTCCCTTTGTCAACACAAGTGGGAAATGTTGTGCCAAATTCAAAATATGGGCTAACGCTTCTGCCAAAGAACACGTACATAAGCAAAGATCTGTGGGAGCATGATGTTTTGATAAAGGACGAAAATTCCCAGGCCTCAAAATATACACAGCGACTAATGGTGTCGACTCAGCTTGACTCAACAACTCTAACAGACACAGCAGCTATCTACAGAATTAAATCTTGGAATTTGCACTCTAAAGATCTACAGGAAATTCTCGAAGATCTCAATCGAACAGATTTCTCTAAATGTGTCGATCATTGCCAACAGATCTTCACAGCAATACTTGAAATCATTGATTCCTGCGTTGATGGTGAAATCGTGGCCAGGGCTATGACAGTGCTGTTTTCGTTCAACAAGTTTTGGAACACAAATGATGAATTTAAAGGCCGTCTATTGGATTCGTTAGATAGGCTTACTTTTGTTTCGGGGCTTCTGAAGTTTGTGTCCTGGATCAAACTCGTGATAAAAGATCAGAATTCCCCTCAATTCAATCAAACAATCAAGTCACTATCCCTACTGCTAACAATAATGAGCAAGAGTTTTGTCAACATAAAATGGGCAAGTATTATGTCTGACGCAGAGATTGACCGGTACAAAGCTGTTCTCGCGAACATGCTAGTGGACATCTCACAAACTGAAGTCGGATCCAATGTTATGTTGTGCAGCCAAATCATCAAGGTTTTCCCGGAATCACTGAGGGTTCTTTACAGTGATGGCATCATAACCATCAACGAATTCTCTTTTCATATGATCTCCATCATGAAGGGCTCAATTCTAGCTTCTTTGAAGGAGTCAGCTGCCACTAGGATATCCTACATTGATCACTTGAAGTTTATAGTAAACTCGGATTTTATGATGAACAAGGATCTTCAAATGAGATACTTCCATGAATTGACCAGCGGACTTTTTATTCAAGAGACCTACACTCAATCAGATATTGAAAAAATGGCTAGCATTGTCGTGAAATTATCTGAGATTACCATTGATTTGATCACCCACCAACCTTCTTTCTCTGAATGTATTGTCAAACTCATTCAATCGTACATAAAGAACATTGCAAGTGATACAATCTCAATACAGAGGGTAGAAACAAGATTAACATTCTTGAGCCTTATCTCTGCGTTATTTGATGTTCTTTTGGCACCTAACGGAAGGCTTAATGAAGAAGCATACAGTTACTTTGAGGATGCAGTTAGACTTACTAAAGAAGCGGTGAAAATCCGTAATGAATTTGAAGACCACCAGAAATCTCTCGCAGCCAAGCAGATAAAAAATGCGTATCTTTGCAAAAAGCTTGGCCTGGCCTCCAAAATTCTCTCTTGCTGTAGAGTTATCGAGAAGATCGATCTTATAAGTGATGTGACTTTCATAGCAGCTACATTACTGACAGAGCCGGTGCCAATAGTAGACAAGGATAGTGCTCCCAATATCATAATAGTCACCAGAATGCAGAGTCTACAAGAAGAGTTACATAAACTTGTAGAGAAAAACCTTCATCACCTCTGTAAAACAGGTCACTTTGAAGTAGCTTTGATAGATCCAATTGTTGCTATGGGAACACTTAGGCCAGACATGGAATGGCTGATAAACTTCATAGATATGTTCCTAGAAAGATTTCCAGATAGGCTACAAGAGATTCTGTTGAGTGTTCATACTCACAAAGATAAACTCACAAAAAATGACTATCAAATGTTTGAGGAAGCTCATTATCTTTCTAAGATGATTAAGAAACAGATGAAACTTTTACAATCAGTCACAACAATAAGTGAACAGAGTCACACATTCGACATAGAGAATGTTGAAAACTTGGTGAGTCTCATCAAATTCTACTCGAAGCATCAGTGCTGGGCTCCCTTCAAGGAAACTGCAAAGATCTATCAGGATTTGCTGATAAAAAGTGGAGCTTTCTTAGAAGCAGCTGAACTAACTGAATACTGCTGTGGACTGATGCCTAAAGAGGTGATAGCTGAAAAGATGGAAGAGTTGTTCACTGCAGCATCCTATTACACTGAGGCAGGATTGTGGTTCAGATCATTAGAGGTTTTCAAAACGTTGCAAAACAAATATGAGAACATGAAGACAAAAGAAGCTTTTGTAATGCTTTCCAAAATATCGGATAAGTGCAGTGAATTATACAGTAACCTTGCAGAAAAACCGAATATTCCTTTCCACTTCTTTTTGGTAGGATTTTATGGCAAAGATGTGAACAAGTCATTCCAGAATAAGCTCTTTATCTTTCGGGGACACCCACTAGAGAGCATCATAGATTTTACAAATCGCATGATGCTCAATTTTCCACAGTATGAACAAATCAACTCAGCAAAGATTCCAACAGCGGAAGAAATTGCTCAATTTATAAAAGCATTTCAAGTCATCAAAGTCAATCCTATCGGAGATTCACGAAAAATTAAGGAAACAGATTCAAAGTTCAATAAGTTTTCATTTGAACTTTGCACAGTTAAGGACAAAAGCATACAAAATGAGCTATTGCGCATGAACTACCAAAGATTCACATTTGAAATCGATGTTCCCCTCCCATCATTCAGGCCATTTTGTCAACTTAAATCTATGAAATGTGACAAGATATCCCCAATAGAGATGGCTATAGAGCAAATAAAGAAAAAGTCAGCGGAATTACAACAAGAATCACAGAAATTTGCAAGCGGAGAGGGGAATATAAATCAGTTCCAAATGATGCTTAATGGGACAATAGATGCAGCAGTAAATGGTGGTACAGCTAAGCTTAAAGAAACTTTTTTGGACGAAGATTTTGTAAAAAGCAATCCCGAGTTTACTGAACAATGTGAAGTTCTAAAGAATGAGATTGACAAACAGAAAGATGTAGCAACTGAATGTTTAAAAGTTCATGACAAAGTTTGTCCAGCAGATCTTAGAATGCTACATGAAAAAATGGTGCATCAGCATGAGAACAGAGTCTTTCAGGAAAAATCGATGACAGAAAAAACGTTGGAAGACCCCAGCATTCCAGTGACACCTCAGCGCCACGCTTTGATCAGTGAGATTGCCAGACGTGGTTCCAAACTTAAGAAAAGCACCAAAATAAATAGAGTCAAGTCAGTTTTCTTTGAGTCACAATCAAAAAGGCCAAGCGTATCTTTGGAGCAAGAAAGAGGGTATACAATAAATAGCATCAGTGAAGACACTCCTCAAAAACATATCATAAATGCGAAGGAATTTGAAAAAACATATGCCTCATTATGCACTGAACTTAACCACGACTTTAATCTGCACATGCTACCAAGATATTCTCAAGGGCGCCGGCAGACAATGAGCAAACCAATGAAATCAGATAATGTCGGAAAAGCACTTTACAATAGATTAAATCGAAAAAATACAGAAAATCCATACTCTTCAAGAAAAGAAATTGAAGAATGCGTCAACACTGATGAAGATTTACCACCAGATTTACCGCCAGATTTACCGCCAAAGTCAAAGCACATTAACATAAATCGACCAGTATCAACAAACTTAACAGGGTCAATTGACGAGGTACAAGAAAATAGTCTGAAAACCTCTTCATTAATTCCTGAAGAACAAGATGTCAAGGTATCAGGTTCCTCAGCGACGAATACATCAGCTTCCACAAACACCTTCCAAGATGATACATTTCTTAACGCAGAGGTCGACCGCAGTTTTCACACAAGAAGCTACACAATCGAAAGATCTTGCAACATTCGACCACCATGTTTGAAAATGTCAGATCCTAACAACAACAACAACAACAACAACAACAGCAGTGCTATGGAATCTACAATAACAACACCAGATGCCCTACAACTAGATTTAAAGTCTTTGGCATCCTCTTTCAGTCTCTCCCCAGAAGACAATCTAGCGAAAAGAAAGATCAGTAAAGACGATTTTGACTCTAAATCAAAACGAAATATTTCTCTAAATGAACTGAAAAAGGTCAATTCAGATTAGTCATAGCTTTCGTGTACAAATTTGTTCATAATTTTTGATCTGTATCTGTGAATTTTTGTCAAGTGATTTTGCCAAATATGTTTGAATTTAAAAGATATTTCTTTGAAAAGAATAAAAATCTTATTGATTGATTCCAAAACAAACGTTATAAAAACGAAATACACAATATAAATTAACCAAACAATATATACAATTGTAATAATTTCAATGGTTACTGTCCAGTTTAAGGTAAGACAACCCAAAAGTGTATTGATATATTGGTAATCTGTTTATAACCTGTAGCCAATTTAAAAAATTAAATAAAACAATACAAAAATGATTTCGTCCTTCCTCCCTTCTTTCCTTCCTTCTTTCCTTCCTTCCTTCCTTCCTTCCTTCCTTCCTTCCTCTCTTCTCTCCCCAAAAAAATCTACGAAAAAAAGTCGTAAGACATTTGGGTCAAATCAAAACGAAATTTTTTCTAAAAACTGAAAAAGGCTTTTTGTTTTTTTGGGGTTTCGTGGTAATTTTGTTATTTTTTGTCTTAAATTTTTTTTTTTGTCAAGTGTTTTGAAAAAATTTTTTGTTTTAAAAAAAAATTTTCTTGGGGTAAAAACTTTTTTGTTCCAACAAGTTATAAAAGAAATAACAATTTCCCAATTTACAAAAGGGCTGCCCATTTAGGGGAAAAAAAAAAAAAGGAGAAAAGGAACGATAACGAAGCCCAAAAAATTTTTTTAAAAAACAAAAAGACGGCCCCCCTACCCCTTCCCCCCCCCCCCTTTTCCTTTTTCCCCCCCCCCCCCCCCTTTTTTCCCCCCTTCCCCCCCCCCCCCACCTCCCCCCCCCCCCCCCCCCCCCCCCCCCCCCCCCCCCCCTTCCCCCCCCCCCCCTTCCCTTCCCCCCCTTCCCCTTCCCCTTCCTTCCTTTCCCCTTCCCCCCCTTTTCCCCCTTCCTTCCTTTCCTTCCTTCCTTCTCCTTCCTTCCTTCCTTCCTTCCTTCCTTCCTTCCTTCTTCCTCTTCCCCTTCCTTCCTTCCTTCCTTCCTTCCTTCCTTCCTTCCTTCCCTCCTTCCTTCCTTCCTTCCTTCCTTCCTTCCTTCCTTCCTTCCACCTTCCTCTTCCTTCTTCCTTCCTTCCTTCCTTCCTTCCTTCCTCTCCTTCCTTCCTTCCTTCCTTCCTTCTTCCTTCCTTCCTCCTTCCTTCCTTCCTTCCTTCCTTCTTCCTTCCTTCCTTCCTTTCCTTCCTTCCTTCCTTCCTTCCTTCCTTCCTCCTACCTTCCTTCCTTCCTTCCTTCCTTCCTTCCTTCCTTCCTTCCCTTCCTTCCTTCCTTCCTTCCTTCCTTCATCCTTCCTTCCTTCCTTCCTTCCTTCCTTCCTTCCTCCTTCCTTCCTTTCCTTCCTTCCGTCCTTCCTCTTCCTCCTTCCTTCCTTCCTTCCTTCCGACTTCCTTCCTTCCTTCCTTCCTTCCTTCCCTTCCTTCTCCTTCCTTCTTCCTTCCTTCCTTCCCCTTTTTTTCCTCCTTCCCTTTCCCTTTCCCTTTCCCTTCCTTTCCCTTTCCTTTTCCTTCCTTTTTTTCCCCCTTTTTCCCCTTTCCTTTCCCTTTCCCTTTCCCTTCCCTTTCCCTTCCCTTCCCTTTTCCCCCTTTCCCTTTCCCTTCCTCCTTCATTCCTTTCCCTTTCCCTTTCCTTCCTTCCTTCCTTCCTTCCTTCCTTCCTTTTCCTTCTTCCTTCCTTTTCCCCTTCTTTCCTTCCTTCCTTTTTCCCCCTTTCCCTTTCCCTTCTTTCCTTTTTGCGTTAAGGTCTCCCATTTTAGTGATTAAGATTAAGATCACATAAATAGCAATTAACAAGCAACCCAACACTTTCGTTGCCATAGTAATCTTGCCAACAACTTCTCGTGAGATCTTGAGTTCCACTTCTACCCGGATTAATGCTGCATCTTTGGTTCTACCGCTAAACATTCATCATTTAGTTGTGATTTTTAAACAGTCAGTCTACTTATTGAATTTAAAAACAGTCAGGAGCTACTGGCATAGTTCCTGGTAAATGACCTGCTTTCAGTATACTTCATGATCAGACTGCTCGGACCAATCACATAAAATATCTGTTTTGTATAAACTGTCCTAATCTGAATACTCCTCCTGTATGCCGCATAGCCATAATGCATATCTCACGTCTATGCAGACAATTTTGTGCACGATAGATCGGGTCTACTTACCGTTCGCGGTAAACGGCACCTGACATGTTATTTTATAACTGTCTACTAACACATCATCGCGATCATGACTTTCCTTGTGACATGCGCCTCAAGTTGAGAAGTTCATAGGTTCTGAGCTGAAAGATGTTCGCTTCAGTTGATGATGCTTATTGCTTTATTGATGTTGGTCTGTATGACACCTGTGTTTATTGTCGATGAATTTATTTCTTTATTCTTAGCTTGATTTCGAAGGGCGCTATTGTGTACTATTACATCAAACGTTACAACTTTTTAGTGATTTTAAAGTTTCCTAATATATAATAAGGTATAGTTTGCTTTCAAATCATAAGTCGGAATCAATTATTTTAATTATGCTTACATGCTTGTTCGACTTATTGGCATAAAAACGCTATGTTCATGCAATTTCAATGCATGAATTGAATGAGCAACTGTAACCCAAGTAGCGAAGTAGCCGGACGTTCTCAGGAAACAAATTAGGAATTTAAGAAACGATCACTGCTAATTTCTCCGAGTCCTACATAAATTGAGTGACAATGGTTTTAGATAAGGTATGTTACCTGGTTGGTATTAGTAACACATTCCTGCCGACATATTCAAAATACATGAACCTACTACCTAGTCACCTCAGATTACTTGATCACTTCTCGAGTAGGCTAATTAATGCAATTTGTTACGGTTGGGTAATGGGTATTAAGTATCAAGATCCCAGGTTTGTTTCTGGTTGCTTCATGCTTCTTCACACGATTCCATTCGGTCAAAGATATGATTTTTTAATCATTTATACTGCTAAAGGTTTTGTTTCTCACCGTTGCCTTATTTTTGAATCTTACACCGTTTGTTTGACCCACAAAATTCAAGTCCTCCATACGAAACAGTTCGTTCTTTAGTTTAGTTTTTACATCGTAAGACAATTTCGACGTTGAAATAATTTTCCGTTGTTTTTCCGTTGTTACTTATTGTATCATCTTTCATTTAAGGTATAATTTTATCTGATCCAATCGTTTGAAAATTCGGCCGCAACTGCGGTTGGATACGTTAAATTAAATTAATTAAATTGTTATATTATATTATTATATTATATATTATTATATCCTAACTTGACTGGATTAACTGAACACTTAAATCAAACTGTAACATCCTCGCCCTTGATAGTTTAATTAACCCATTACTGCCCGGAACTCCAAAAAGTTTTAAAAAAATAATTTGATTCATAGATTCTAGGTGGTTTATGGTATCTATTTTGAAATTTGAAATCCGGAAGTCCGTAGGTCCTTTAGTTTTAGGAGTTACGACCCGTTGCTTTTGGGCAACACTGGGCAGTTGCCTAGAAGCAACAAAATGGTTAATCATCCCCTGTAGCCTGGTTTTCAAGGTTTTTGGCTGGCAGGCATGCTTATTTGGTTTATCATAAGACTAGGTTATGATATTGTCCAAATTTAGCTATTTTTAGAAAAGGTTGCTTTTAGGCCAACACTGGCAGATAACATTTTTAGACATTTTTCGGTCTAAAATGGCATGTTTATGCTTCCAACAGGTATAGGACATGTATTTAGGGTTGGTACACCTTATTTCCCTAAAACAAATGTAATGTTCGACTGTTGCTTTTGGGCAACACTGGGCAAGGACACTTTTTAGTGGCAAAATTCGTAATCCAGTTGAAAAAACGCTTCCTAAAACATATTAGGGGGGGGGGGGGGGGGGGGGGGGGGGGGGGGGATCATGTTTTTTGTCCGTTTTTGTCCGTTCGGTACCCTATATTTTTAAAACGAACAAAAATTAGAGCGGGCAAAAACTGACAAAAAAAGACAAAAATGGAAATAACATGTAGATGCTTCCTCCTCCCCTCCTTCCCTTCCTCCTTCCCCTCCTCCTCCTGCTCCTCCTGCTCCTGCTCCTCCTCCTCCTCTTCCTCCTTCTCCTTCTCTTCCTCCTCCTCCTCAGTACTCCTCCTCAGTCCTCCTCCTCCTCCTGGGTCCTCTTCCTCAGTCCTCCTCCTCCTCCTAGGTCCTCCTCTTCATTCCTCCTCCTCCTCCTGGGTCCTACTCCTCGGTACTCCTTCTCCTCCTCCTCCTCCACCTCCTCCTCAGTCCTCCTCCTCCCCCTCAGTCCTCCTCCTCAGTCATCCTCCTCAGCCATCCTCCTCAGTCCTCCTCAGTCCTCCTCCTCCTCATAAGTCCTCCTCCTCAGTCTTCCTCAGTCCTCCTCCTCCTTCTCCTCCTCCTGGATCCTCTTCCTCCTTGGTCCTCCTCCTCCTGGGTCCTCCTCCTCATGGGTCTTCCTCCTCCTCAATCCTCCTGATCCTCCTCAGTCCTCTTCCTCCTCCTTCTCAGTCCTCCTCCTCAGTCCTCCTCAGTCCTCCTCCTCCTCAGTCCTCCTACTCCTCCTCATCAGTCCTCCTCCTCAGTCCTTCTCCTCCTCACCAGTCCTCATCCTCAGACATCCTCCTCCTCCACATCAGTCCCCCTCCTCAGCCCTTCTCCTCAGTCTTCCTTAGTCCTCAGCTCTTCCTCCTCCTCCTTCTCCTCCTCCTAAGTCCTCCTCCTCCTGTGTTTTCCTGATCCTCCTCAGTCCTCTTCCTCCTCCTACTCCTCAGTCCTCCTCAGTCCACCTCTTCCTCCTAAGTCCTCCCCCTCCTCAGTCCTCCTTCTACTCTTACTCCTCAGTCCTCCTCCTCCTCAGTCCTCCTCATCAGTCTCAGTCCTCCTCCTTCTCATCAGTTCTCCTCACCAGTCTTCCTTCTCCTCCTCTTCCTTCTCCTCAGTCCTCCTCCTCCACATCCTTTTCCTCCTCATCAGTCCTTTTCAGTCCTCCTCCTCCTCAGTCCTACTCCTGAGTCCTCCTGGGTCCTCCTCCTGGGTTCTCCTCCTCCTTCTCCTCGTGGGTCCTCCTCAGTCCTCCTCCTCCTTCTCCTCCTTCTCCTCCTCAGTCCTTCTCCTCCTCAGTCCTTCTCCTCCTCATCCTGATCCTCATCATCAGTCCTCCTTCTCCTAAGTCCTCCTCCTCAGTCCTCCTCCTCCTCCTCGGTCCTCCTCCTGGGTCCTCCTCCTCCTCAGTCTTCCTCCTCCTCATCAGTCCTCCTCCTCAGTCCTCTTCCTCCTCCTTCTCCTCACCAGTCCTCCCCCTCCTCCTCAGTCCTCCTTCTCCTCCTCATCGGTCCTCCTCCTCAGTTCTCCTCCTCCTCATCCTCCTCATGTCCTTAGTCCTCCTCATCAGTCCTCATCAGTCATCCTCCTCAGTCCTCCTCCGCCTCCCCCGTCCTCCTCCTCAGTCCTCCTCTTCAGTCCTCCTCCTCAGTCCTTCTCCTCCCCCTCCTCCTTCTCCTCAGTCTTCCTCAGTCATCCTCCTCCTCCTCCCCCTCCTCCTCAGTCCTCCTCAGTCCTCCTAGCCTCTTCCTCCTCCCCCTCCTCAGTTCTCCTTCTCAGTCCTCCTCCTTGGTCTTCCTCCTCGGTCTTCCTCCCCCTCTTCCTCCTCAGTGCTCCTCCTCCTCAGTCCTCCTCCGTATCCTTCTCCTCAGTCCTCCACCTCAGTCCTCATATTGAATCTTTGTTTTTTCCCTAGCACAGGAAAAATGACATAACAGTGTCCTTGCCCAGTGTTGCCCAAAAGCAACAGTCGAACATTACATTTGTATTTAGGAAATAAGTGTACCAACCCTAAATACATGTCCTATACCTGTTGGAAGCATAAAACATGCCGTTTTAGACCGAAAAATGTCTAAAAATGTTATCTGCCAGTGTTGCCTAAAAGCAACATTTTCTAAAAATAGCTAAATTTGGACAATATCATAACCTAGTCTTATGATAAACCAAATAAGCATGCCTGACAGCCAAAAACCTTGAAAACCAGGCTACAGGGGATGATTAACCATTTTGTTGCTTCTAGGCAACTGCCCAGTGTTGCCCAAAGGCAACCGAACTAAAGAAGCGTTTTGTGGCTCACTGGAATAAGCTACGGCTCTGGAGATTTCACCTAGGCCACGTAAACCTTTGCCCCCTCCTTACCACCCAGTTGGGGATTAAAGTGCCTGCCTCGTTAACTCCTTTTAATTACGTCCCATAAAGTCCATTATTTTCGGTAATTGACCATAAGTAGGCCAATTAATTAGCCAATTAATAATGTCCCACCAATTTTCTTTTCATCCAAAAGTGAGGGTCTGTATCTTTCTTTCAAGATGGTGTTGAGCATGTTATCACATCCTTTATGGTTTAGCCACAATCAGCTCTTAAAGTTGTGTTGCCCAAAAGCAACACTGGGCAGTAATGTAAGTAAGAAACCTCATAGCTCATTACCCAAGGTTCGATTAACGAGCAACACTCAACAGTAGTATCGATTATAATCGCATATCAAAAATGTCGCCAATCAACCTTTGATAATATGTTCATCACAATACACTTTGGAGGTAAATAATACAACTTTTTAAGATGTTCAAGACTTTTAAGTTTCATTTTAGCGACTAGTGAGGACCTTAAGGTCTTAATTCTTCATAATGTATAACTTTACTCCTCTTTGAATGTTATTGTCAAAAATAGTAAATGATTACAATATGATCATAACAACGTATCCCATATCTTTCAGAAAACCAAGTGTTAGTTTGTAATCCTGAGTGCAACATTAGAAACTTGCTGGATAACATCAGACGAAGGTGTAGCTGTCAGACGGCAGGTTAAAAATAATCATTGACCATTATTTTTATTTTGAAGATCATTGATCGTACCACGACTCTTTATTCCGAATTAAGTTCTGATCTGTACCAATAAATTGTGTGGCTCCAATCGAATGGCCAATGATTACAAAGAATATGCTTCAGATACAATTGATCTGACAGACACCAGAGGTAATCTCCAGAACCTGTCCCTGTTATCCCAATACGACCTGGCTCATGCTTCTCATCACCTGACAGATATTAATAGAGGAGAGTACATTCTCCTAAAAATAGAGCGTAAGTATAATTCTGTAGTTTCAACATAAACAAGAAAAAAGTGAAGGTGGTCACTATTGATAATGATCATTGTATGTTTCAACAATTACAAAGTCCGGATTATGACTTACATTTCTTCTTTTCGTATTTTTTGAAGTTTTTGAATTTTTTGCACTTACATTTTTTGGGTCATATTTCGTAAATTGTATTTTCTGTTTTTGTTTTAATATTATTTTAAATTTCTTTCCGTCGTTAATTTTACACATGTTTAACAATTTGATTACAGAACTGAAGAAGACGTAGTTACGTGAAATGATTATTTCAATTCAATAAAGTTTCTAGCCTAAAGTCTGCTTCTTCATTTTGTTCGCAATCTTAAGAGTCAAAAGATAACTTCTCCAAGAAAAATCAAGGATTATGATGATATCGTGTATTGATTACTGCTCATTTTTTCAGACGATGAAACTGGAAAAGTACAGCACATTCCGTTGTTGGAAAAAGCTTGCTTCAATTATCCTATTTTGTTAGGTTGGTGTTTTAGATTTGAAATATGAAAATTTATATGCTCATTTACTGAAAGATTACATAATTCGTTTAGTATAGTATAGTATAGTATAGGTTAATTTGGTTCATTACTGCTTCTTCTTCTTTGTCTCTATGAAATTAGTCAGCAGTGATACTGATAGTGCAAGTGATACCACAACAGGTACAACTACTAACCTACCACTCTGTTTCAGATAGCTTAGATATCCCGACATGGGTCGAGGGTGCAGGTCAAAGAAGCAGCTCCAGAAAACTTAATCGCCTGAGGCTGGCCACAAAGTTGGTAATGGCAGCTGCCCACGAGAAAAAACATAAACCTCCAAGTGCCAACAGAAAATCTATCAACCGGTAAGTAATTTCAACTGAATTATAATTTTGGGTGACCGATATGACAAATAACTTCAATCATCAATATATTATGACAAATAACAGGGTCTCAAATATAAACCAAATTTGGCACGTTAAATAAATTTAATTTATTCAGGTCAGCATCATCAGGGGATTCGCCGAATAAAAAAGAGAGACGGCTATCAAACGCAACTTCAATAGATAAGGCGAAGAAGAACAAAAGATAAAAAGTTTATCGGTATACTTCACTGGAACCTCCAATTTGATCAAAATTAAATGATCAGCAATTTTGACATGTACACTACAGCTGATATAACTACTGTGCATTATGTTGAATGAACAAAAAATCTCTCGATTGATATAAGCCGTATCACTCATTTCCCATTGATCTGATCCTTGAAAATTGTTTTAAGTGTCGAGCATTGTCAGTTAAAAGTTCTAATTTTTATTATAAATTATACAGACTATAGCTAATGCTATGTCGTTATGATCATACAAGTTACAACAACAAGAGTATTGTATATATCACAGTGCTGGCAAGCACGACCGGTGCATTTATTGTGGGTATACTATGTACCCCCTTTACTATTATACCCCCTTTATTATTATACCCCCTTTGGTACACGTTACAAGCCTCTTTCGTGCACGCGAAGCGTGCACTCCGGCCGGAGGCGGCGGCCGAAGGCCGCCGCCTCCGGCAGGAGTTTTTCAGGCATTAAGACTCATCGGAAGTCGTTCAGCAGATTTATTTTTAATTCAAAACATTCTAATTTGATGTCAAAGATGACAGGAATAAAAAATAGTTATGTTGAGATTTTTAAGAAATTTGCATAAAATACTCGCCAGCACTGTTATACGAAATTCGGTAAAAAACCCAAAATCGCCATATTCAGGTGCCTTAAAAACCATGTTAAAATCGAGTTAGAGATCTGAAATTTTTCAGGGCGTCTAGACGTTGACCAAATCGACTGCAAAAAAAGTTTCAGGTTTCAGGAACATCGGGAAGTGGGTTTTCTAGAACCCCTGTTTTACGACAGATTGTCGTGATATCTATCTATATATATACATATATATATATATATTCAGGGATAGACGCTTTGCCAGTCAATTGTAGCCTGTATTTAATTGTCCATAGATTCAAAAGTATAAAAGATACAGCCATTTCCGACCACAGGTCTTGAAAATAATTGTTTACACTTTAGTTTACATTGTATAAGCAAATAATTTGACGTCATGAACACCCCTTGATGACGTCATCAAGTTAACCGTTTTTAAAACTTGATTTTTGACAAAGTAATAACTTTTAAAAATGATTTTACACCATTAAAACGTAATTGTATTCAAAATCTGAGGAAATTTTTATCTTAGATAATTGTTCAAGCATTCTGAAAATCTACCGGAAAGTTTTTCTAGCTTGCTCCTTCATAAAGATATTCGTCATTGAAGTTTGTGCTTTTTTTAAGAATTATTTTATAAAAACGTCAATTTTGCGATTTAGTATTCTCTGGTGTTGGGCCATGCCTTGGGTTGTGGAGCTCAGTTCTGCCTCCTATAGGTATAAATTGTGCATTAGGCTAGTTTTAAAGTTAAAAATCGAAAAGTTGCACACGTGGGGACACGCCCAAATTGATAAAAAATTGCTAAAATCACTGAAAATTGCTGTTTTCGTCATTTTCTGTCAACTTTAGAGTGCCGTTGTGATAACAGTTCTTCTTGAAATACTTTGAAACTTTGCGTGCTTATCAAGCTATATATAAAACAATTACATGCAAAAATTTACGGCGATTCAATATTGGATGCGCACGCAACGTCCGCTCAAAGTTTGCACGTGCGAAAGGTGAGAATTTTGCTCATTCGTGATTTCCAACAAATTCTGCTTTGCCACGACAGTTTAATGTCATTATAAATGAATTTAATGTCAACTTGAATGAGTATTAAGTGGCATATTCAGTCAGTGATCGACCGATATGCTTACCTAAACACAAGGAAATGTTTTTAAAGGAAAAATTTCGAAATTGTTGAAACTTCCTCCTTATTAATGAAGATATCAGTTTATATTTCGACTTTATAAAGTACCCTGACATTATAATCAAAAAGAGATGATACTTGACCAAAACCCATAATCATGGGTAGAGTGGACCGCTGCCAGTGTCTCTCTTTCCCAAACAAAAGGAAATGATATTAATTTGATTGACCGTTCTCAAATGCAAAATGATACCGAGAATGAAATCGGTCGCTCGCTTTTCCCATTCATTTACAATTGTAATAGATTAAGAAGAACTACCCAAAGGCAGCTGTACTCGGCAATAAAGATTCAATAAACTTCAGCTAATTCAATAAGTAATAACTACAACCCTTACCCCGAAATACTAGGTATCGACCCGAACGCAACCCAAAGAGATTTTTACAGCATCTGATTGATGTACCTAATCAATCGAAACTTATTACAATTCGGAAGCCGTGAATGAATGGGAAAAGCGAGCGACCGATTTCATTCTCGGTATCATTTTGCATTTGAGAACGGTCAATCAAATTAATATCATTTCCTTTTGTTTGGGAAAGAGAGACACTGGCAGCGGTCCACTCTACCCATGATTATGGGTTTTGGTCAAATTTGTTTCTATATTTAAATCCGGGACTCAATACTCAAAGTCAATACTTGCGAGCGTGCTAAATCGTTTAATACTGGTACTTCGAGATTCTTCTACATTCTATAAAGGACCCCCGGCCGTTTAAACCGCTAGTTTGTAGGTTTATAACCTTACCTACCAAGACGCGCGCCGGCCATTCCACATAGAGCAGCTAGAGCTCCAAAGTATAGCATATACTTATTCACAATCCATACCATCACCCAGTAGTTGCCAGTCACCAGAACAGTGGATGAGTGGACAGCAGTGCAGTAGTTATGAATATGACAGCATTCTACAGAAGTAGTAGTACTAGTAGTAGTAGTACTTATAGTTATAGTAGTACTATACTAGCGGTCTTTTGCACTTTGCAGAATACTGTCATATTCACAACTATAACAAATTGTAAATGTCCCCACGCCGTAGCAGTGGCGTAACGAAGGGCCCCGCCGACCCCGCTGTGCGGGGGGGGGGGGGGGGGCAATCTTACTCTTAGGGGGGGCGCCAAATCGACGTTTGAATGTGGGACAATTTCAAAAAACTTAACTACGGTACTAGCAAAACTGCGCGTTTTGCTCTAGAAACACACTTTTTTAGAGATTTTACCGGTGTATCCTCTAAAATCATCTAATTTGTTCAATTTTAGGGAGGGGCTCTGAAAGTGGAGGGGGCGCCAACAGGGGGGGGGGGGGGGCGATTTTTCAGCGGGGTCGCCAACAGGCAACGTTACGCCACTGCCGGCCGTAAAGTCCTGTTTTGGTAATAACCGTTCCCAAACCGTTCCCAAATGACAATGAGTATAACATGGTGCTTGGACACCGAAAATAAAATCGATCGCTCCACTTTTTCCATTCTTTCATCTAAAAGTAAAAATCCGCGGTAATTTATTCATCTTAAATTTGTATCACGTCGTGATCTGACCCCATTGTCGTTTTGTGACCACCATTGTCGTTTCACTAAGCGTTCCAACGATACAGGGGAGCCGCGCGGCGGGTCATACAACTAAACCGAAACGTATGACAATCTTAAATGATAATCTCAATAAATCTGTGTGTGTGTGTGTGTGTGTGTGTGTGTGTGCGGGAAATTTCCGAGCGGCTATATTTTTAAAAACGGTAAGAGTTACGGGACTGGTTTTTTCGGTATAGTGCCGACAAAACTCTGACAAAGCCAATAAGCAATTTTTTTTAAATCGGCCGGTTTAATTGATGGTTTTGTACCACAAATGTGACAAAAAATGGCTCAAATTTTCTCCCTCCTCGCTCTCTCTCCCATTACTGCATATTATGTAGCGTTGGTACATATAATATATCATAATTAGGTTAGGTTTGGTTATTGTTTGATTATATAATATATTAATATATATTATTATCGAACTTTAGACAAATCCAAAGTATTTACTAAGAACATCCTAAAGACCTGATAAGTCTACTTAAAAGACTTGCAGAACTGAAAACTTACTATGAATGCAAAAAATGGAACTTAAAACTGAAATTATCAAAATCAAAAATTATGCAAAAATTGAACTTAAAACTGAAATTATCAAACTAAACAAATTCAAAATAAATTTCTCCACAATTGGCGGTTCGAGGCTAAATGCCTTAAATCTGTCAAGTCGTCACTATTATTCAAATTAATATTTCTTTTATTTAAATCGTCTAAAATAGTTTTAAAAATATTACATTGACATGATGTCTACCAATCCTACCCCTCATATTTGACATACTATCAACAGCAAAATTTAGAGCTAGTTGTGGTGGTGAGTTGCAGTCGCTACGAAAAATGTGCCCAAACATTTTCCAGCGGGATTTATGAACTCTCTCTGAAAGTGGAGTTACATTGCAACGAGCATACAAGTCCTTGTTGCTGATGATGCGGGGATAGGTCATGTTGATGACACGTCTGAGATGTTTGCGTTGACATACATCAACTTTATTGATAATGTTCTGTGGAGCTGCCCAGCTGGTACAGTTGTACAATAAAACAGGGGTAACAAATGCTTCATACAGCTTGATTTTGACAGGAAGAGAAATGCGGGATTTCTCTGCCCATACCTTGCTGTATTTCTCAAAGGTAGCGTTAGCAAGGATGCATCGGCGAGAGATATAAGCCTTACTGCAGAGCCTGGATCCAAGATCTGCAATGTAGAAGTGGACATGTTCTGTTTTGTCCTCATTCACAAACAAGTTCCATTCTTCAAGGATCTCCTTAGTCCTTACATATGGGCAGCATTTCTCTAAGAGTTTCCTCATCCTCGTCTGCAAAATCGCCATCGTCGGCGTATTCCCATTCAATAGGCATGAGGGTCTCAGGGTTGAACGGTGGGTTAGGCCGAATGGTCATCACTACGGCACGGAAGTGGTACAGCAAAGTACAGTGTGAAGAATGCACCAGATGCAGCATCACCTTGAAACGAACCCTCGGATGTTTCAAACTCTAAGAAAATGGTGTTGTTGATTTTTATCCTCAATTTGGTGTTGGAGAGCAAGTATCTCGCCAAACGAATGTCATCCTCACAACAACCAGCATCAGCCAAAAGTTCCAGGATAACTGATCTCTTGATGGTATCGAAGGCCGAGCTCATGTCGATTCCAATCTTGTGGAACTCCCATCTCTTCTCTTTCACAACAGAAATCAGAATTCGTTGAGTCCAGACAATGTTGGCACAACTATGACCAGCCTTGTAGGCATTTTGCCATGGTCCTGTGTACTCTGCAATTTGTCTTTGAATTCTGTGTAGAGTAATCAAGGAGAGCAGTTTCCTAGTTTCATTCAGAAGGCAAAGAGGTCTGAGGCTCTTTAGAGGTCCTTTTGGATTCCCTGGCTTCTGAATATATAATATATAATAATATATAATATATTTCGGGACGAAATTTCCCCGGCAACGGGGACATAGAAGAAAAAACACCGAAAATCGACCTCAAAATGACCCTCTGGTGAAATCAAACCCAGCTCGCAAATGGAGTTGAAACCTCGCCATTTTTAGCAGGGTTGTAGAAAAAGGATAGGAATAGGCTATAGCATTCTTAGAATTTTGATTTAGGCTTTAGATTTTTTATAATTAACGTCGGAAGTGAGGTAAAATAACCGTTAGAATAATGTCGTTATTTTAGCAAAGGTTTACTGCGCTGTTGCGTAGCAACGTTAAAATGCACGTGCGCGAGCAAGAACATCTTAACTACGCGCGTTGTTATGCTGTATGCTACGTCATAATTTCAAAACTAGCTCACATTTACGCTCACGCTATGACTTATATTCATAACTTTGGTTGTGATTGGTATTTTTTGATGCGGTAAAAAGTATCGTTTTGGGAATCCGAATACTAACAACGCTGTCGCCATTGTTAGATAAATTCCATTATGTCTACAGTATAACAGAGCTATATGATGAAGAGAAATTAAAACATAACTGATTTTTAAAATTTCCTCGAACAAAGCTTTCGACTAGCGGGTTTCTAGTAATATATATTGTATATATTGTATATATACAATTGGTTGTGGGACACACTCAACTAGGGAAGTTGAGAGGCCTCAAATTAAATCTCATTAAAGAGATATCAACAGAGTGTGACTGTGAACCACTGCCTGAATAACCTGTGATTAGAGTTTACCAGGCTCTATGAGTGTGATTCAAATATAAAAGGCGGGTGTGGTGCGGAGTTAATAAGGGTTAATTTCTAAAATGATTTAAATAAAAACGGAAAGCGGTTCAAGGCGGGAGTGATGAGGTGTAATAGTCGTGGTACAGGGTGTACAGACCTTATGATCATGGAATGTGGTGCCTAATAATGACTTAATTATCCACGAGAAAGAACTGATTATATGCGATTATGTTAAATACTATTGGAGTATTGGATACGTGAGGGCACTCCGGGTTACACTATGTTACTTTGATAAATGGATTCCACATACTTTCATAATCTAATATTCAAGCGATGGCAACTTGATTCTTAATTCCTGAATAATTTTTTCTGGAGCGGGAAACACATACCTACGCTGTGACAAGGCATATTTCCATTGAATAACCACGATATCTAAAGCCATACAGTCGAAGGCAGGCAAAACATAATAAATTATCAAAGCATGAATTGAGGGGAATAATGGGTATAAATCTCCGAATTTTTTCAGATCAGAATCAGTAAAGGTCGACGGTAGTTAGCTACCTTGTCAAATTCAGCTCCATGCTAGCTTGTATTTTGTAAAACGATGACATTTAACTATTTATTTCCGACGTTAGTTTAAGTTGAGATTAGTAGAGATCATATCATGCTATGCAATATGTATATACCTTAGCGGACTTTATTTTAACGGACAATTCTACTTGGACACTGGATACTGGAGGCCTTTGTGTTCATAATATATTTAATGAGTCATAGACTGCAGCGAGAATAAAATTGTTCGTGGATCGCGTTTTCCCCACCCTTTCAAAGAATTATTGCAATAAATATTATCATAACAGTTTATACTCCATCAGTCTAATTAAACTGAATAATAAAAGGGTAGGGTAAAGACTAAAGATAAAAACAAAAAAGCCCCAATGATTGAATAAATTTACTGATAAGTAAGTTAAGAGGCACCGCTGCAATTGCAACACTCCCAATAAATCGCTCGCCCAAATTTTGAAAATTGATAGACCCTGACAGTATGAAAGTAACTTCAATCGATGTATTTTTGGACGATGATTCCAAATCACCCCCATGACGTAAGGTAAAAATGCTTCCCTGAGGAGTTTTGAGCAAAATAATAGAAGCTTTAGTACATGATGGTGTAAATGTAATTAATGCATTTCTAAGATATTATATAACGGACATTTAAGCTGCAAATTCGATCAAAATTCGAGGTGGCATCTTATCTGAGATTGTTCTGTGTACCCGAACTAAGATTCTCTGGTTTTATCTAATATTCTGATTGTGAGAAATACTCTGAGTAACAGATTCTTCTTGCATTTAAGATTAATTTGTTAGAATTCTACACTTTTTGTATTTAATTCGTTCAGCCGATTTCACCACTAGCTATACTTATTATAGTCAGAGCACTAGGTTTGTCTAGTTAATGATTCGATTTGTCAATAAAACTCCTCAGCTCACTTGCATTAATTTTATCGTCCATTAGACATTCGCAAGTCCTTGGATGATGATTAACCACTCTACAGTCGACTGTCAGGTGCAGATGACTTTTCTAACACGTCCTCTAGGTGGATCTGAATGACTATTCGAAACCTTACCCTTCTAATCTGATTTCAACCCTAACTTAACCCTAACCCAATCCCTAACTGAAGCATATGCTGAAACCCTAATCCTAAGGAGAAATTATACCAACTTCCTTATATGCCTATATGGTCATATCACGTGATCGCCCATATCTTGCTAGGGGATCAGGAGCATTTTAAACCTATGCCATCTGAGGTGATTCGGAATCAGCGTTCGAAAATACATCGAACCAGGTAGATTTCAACTGTCAAAGGCCCATTTTAGAAAAATCTCAAAGATCTACTGTAGAGTGATTTAGCACGCTCGAATATTCTGAGTGTGAGATAGCAACGTTATTTAATTGTTGTTAACTTTGAAAAACCATGTAACATTGTTCCTAACACGTGACAATATGGTTATATTAATATTAAACGAACTTAGTATGAACTTGAAGAACTGCTGCGATGAGAGAACTAAAAACCTTGTTGTGGCCTCGTTCTGTATGAGTCTGTGTATGTTTGCTGGTGCGCCAGCCGGGACAGTTCAAAATATAGCCCTTGCTGAGAGCACGGACATCGACCTCTCAGTCGGATATCATTCTGAGGTGGTGAAAACGGTAGCAGGTATCGTCGCAGCAATCATTTTTCATCCAGTACACAATCTGATTGGGATCAAGGTCACTGCACTGCTGTCCACTGTTCTGGTGACTGGCAACTACTGGGTGATGGTATGGATTGTGAATAAGTATATGCTATACTTTGGAGCTGCTCTATGTGGAATGGGCTGGGGAGCGTTGTGGGTCTTGTGGCCCATGGTTGTGGTTGAAAATTCAGCAGAAAAGAAATCACAGAAGAATATGGGTTACTGGTTTATGTCAATGTCTATCGGAACGTTGATGGGGGGATTGGCAAACTACTTTTACTTCGAAGGAGTGACAAAGATATCCTCAAAAAACAGGGTCATGCTCTACACAACCTGTGCAGGAGTTACCATGTTAACTAGTCTTGTAGCTGCTTTTGGGATCACTGACATAAAGAAAAGCCCAAAACGACATCAACCACTAACAGATGAAGATATCGAAACCGTTCCTCAGGATGATTTGGACGAAGTTACATACTCCACCAAGGGAGGGGAAGCAGATGTGAATGTTATGATACCTAGGAAACCATCTGGAGTGAATAAAGTCAAAGATTGGTTCAAAGTCATGACTAAGAAAGCTGGATTAAAAGAAGGTCTCGATTGGTTCAAAGTTATGGCGAGGATTCCTGCATTTTGGTTTTTGGTCATCCCTCTTATCTACTGGGGATTTATTTGGGGATACTTCATAAAGATACTTCCTACAGCTACTGCATCCATTTCCGATAAAAGAAACCTTATTCCTCTCACATCTGTAATAAATGGGGTATGTTCCCTAGTTGGAACGACCACTTGGAACCTTCTCTCAAAGATCACCAACAACATTTTTTGCATCATGGTTGCTTCAGCGATGCTCTTGTCATCACTTATACTTTCTATATTGATCTTCCCGAAAGGTGCAGCCTCGGAGATTTTGGCGCTTGGTTCAGCTGAGACCTACATCACACCTGACCCCATTCACGTTGTTGTGATCTGTGCTTTGATTGGGCTGGCTGACAGTGGAGTGAGCATCATTTACTTTTCAACAGCTGGACGGATTTACGGAGACGAGCCAGCTCTAGGGTATGCTACTAACGCCATTGGCTACTATGTATTTTACATCTGTTCCATGTTTTCTCCTTCCCTATTCGATCTCCACACCTACTGCTACTGTATGATCGCATCAGTTGTTGCAATGTGCCTTGTATTTCCCTTCGGACTGAGAAAATACCTCGACAATATTGAATAGGTTTGATTGACGATGTCAATCCTTCGCACTCGCAGCTCGGCGCGGCCCATAGTACTGCCTGGCTCGGTTATGGAGCCAGACGGCGGTTGCACCATTGCAAACTGCAAGCGCAAGGAATATGGTTAGACAATTACTATTAGACTTAGAGCAAATAATTTAGAGAAAATATGTTTGGCTAGCCATCATTTTTATTAACAATAACGCCTTGTAAATAAAATGCTGGCAACAAATAAGGTACCTCAAAAAAGCTACTCATGCATTGCTAATGCTATCCCATATTCACTATTTGCTGTTGGGCTTTTTACAAAAAAATAAAACAAATTTTTGTTAGTTATAGGATTCTCTTTCAAGAGTATTTCATATTCACATTTTGATTTTTAATCTGTTCTAAAAGCTAACAAGATTTTATCTCGATTCATGAAGTTTAAACGCTATTTAATTTGGGAAATTTCTGATGAATGTATTCTTATGAATGTATTCATATCAGTATTGTGCCCCGCTCCCACTAAATAGCTCGCCCAAATTTCAAGAAAATTCTTGTGAAAAGGCCCTGAGGGTATGAAACTAATCTTAATCGGTGTATTTTTGGACGCTGATTCCGAATCCCCCCCCATCACCCTTGACGTAGGGTAAAAATGCTTCCCTGGAGATTTATGGGTAAAAAACTGTTTTGGTCACGTGACCGGCTAGTTAAACACGAATTCGGTTGTTTAGGGCTCGGGAAAGGGTTAGGCCGGGTTGTAGTTAGGGTTATACTTATGGATAGCTTTGGGGTTAGGGTCTGGGTAGGGATTGGGGTTTATCTGTTTATGTATAAAAACCGTTTTGTAAAAATCCCCCCCCCCCCCCCCGGCAACAGGGCCGGGACATTTTTTTTTAAACACTGAAAATTGACCAAAAACCGACCCTGGCCCTTTTATTATTCTTCCTGACCAATTTTAGTTTGCAAATGGAGTTGGAACCTTGCAACTTTTACTTTTAGCAGGGTTGTGAAAAAGGATAAAAATAAGAGACAGCGTCATGTCTTATTGCTAATTATGATACGCGTCATGCATGGTGACTCTAGCTTTCACATTTACGCTCATTCTATGACTATTGATAATTTATTTATGATGCAGTAAAAAGTATTGTTTAGGGAATCCATGAATACTTACAAAGTTACAACGTTGATGTCTGCATGTCATTGTGAATCACTGAAATAAAATTCATACTTTTTACAGTACAGACCTTAAACTTTCACTTAGAACTACTAAATGGTGAAGAGATTAGAAAAATTTAAACATGAATGATTTTTTAATTTCCTCGAAGAAAGCTTTCGACTAGTATAGAGTAGTATATTAACGGGTGATACTCGTAAAATATCTGTTCCATATATTACCGTCGACGAGTCCAACTCGGCGCGCGTCCTGGTAGGAATTGTAAACCTACAATTACAAAGTAGTAATAATACGACCTGGCTCATGCTTCTCATCGCCTGACAGATATTAATAGAGGAGAGTACATTCTCCTAAAAATAGAGCGTAAGTATAATTCTTTAGTTTCAACATAAACAAGAAAAAGTGAAGGTGGTCACTATTGATAATGATCATTGTATGTTGCAACAAGGTCCGGATTATGATGATATCGTGTATTGATTACTGCTCATTTTTTCAGACGATGAAACTGGAAAAGTACAAGACATTCCGTTGTTGGAAAAAGCTTGCTTCAATTATCCTATTTTGTTAGGTTGGTGTTTTAGATTTGAAGTATGAAAATTTATATGCTCATTTACTGAAAGATTACATAATTCGTTTAGGTTTCATAGTATAGGTTAATTTTGTTCATTGCTGCTTCTTCTTCTTTTTTTTATGAAATTAGTCAGCAGTGATACTGATAGTGCAAGTGTTTACCACAACAGGTACAACTACTAACCTACTACTCTGATTCAGATAGCTTAGATATCCCGACATGGGTCGAGGGTGCAGGCCAAAGAAGCAGCTCCAGAAAACTTAATCGCCTGAGGCTGGCCACAAAGTTGGTAATGGCAGCTGCCCACGAGAAAAAACACAAACCTCCAAGTGCCAACAGAAAATCTATCAACCGGTAAGTAATTTCGACTGAATCATAATTTTGGGTAACCGATATGACAAATTACTTTAATCATCAATATAGTATGATAAATAACAGAGTCGTTAAATAAATTTAATTTATTCAGGTCAGCATCATCAGGGGAGTCGCCGAATAAAAAAGAGAGACAGCTATCAAACGCAACTTCAATAGATAAGGCGAAGAAGAACAAAAGATAAAAGTTTATCGGTATACTTCACTGGAAGTGGAACCTCCAATTTGATCAAAATGATCAGAAATTCTGACATGTACACTACAGCTGATATGACTACTGTGTATTATGTTGAATGAACAAAAAATCTCTCGATTGATATAAGCCGTATCACTCATTTCCCATTGATCTGATCCTTTAAAATTGTTTTAAGTGTCAAGCATATTTGTTCTTGTATTTAAATCTGGGACTCAATACTCACTTGCGAGCGTGTTAATTCGTTCAATACTGGTACTTCGAGATTCTTCTACATTCTATAAAGGACCCCCGGCCGTTTAAACCGCTAGTTTTTAGGTTTATAACCTACCAAGACGCGCGCCCATTCCACATAGCTAGAGCAGCTAGAGCTCCAAAGTATATCATATACTTATTCACAATCCATACCATCACCCAGTAGTTGCCAGTCGCCAGAACAGTGGATGAGTGGACAGCAGTGCAGTAGTTATGAATATGACAGCATTCTACAGAAGTAGTAGTACTAGTAGTACTTATAGTAGTACTATACTAGCGGTCTTTTGCAGAATACTGTCATACCTTATCGGACCGTATTTGGACGGACATTACTTGAACGGACATAATTATAAACGGACATTGATATGAACGCTAGAAGGCAATCAAAAGCATCAAAAATTCGAATTTTTGTCATCTTTTTTTTAAATTTTTAACAATTTTAGCAAATGATTATTAAATCCATTTACAAACAGTAAGCAATAAAGGCAGTCTTTAATCAGTAAAAATGTTGAAATACGTTTACATGATCATTATCTAATATCACATATCATCTTCATCAAATGGGGTTTCGTGCAGGGAGATATCCCGGTGTACTCTCCTTTCACGAGTGTACACGTCATTTTAGACTACTAGTTCTTCTTCTTATGCTTTAATTGGCCTCTTGTTCTAATCTCATTAAACCTCATTACACACAGTTAGCAAGCTGTTTCCACCTCACTTTCCTTAATTAGGCTTATTTTCCACCTCTTTTGTTTACTCTACAAATTGACATGTTTAGTTGTACCCTATTTGGATGATATTAGTTTAAGATCGTATCATGTGACCGGCATATGTGTCACGTGAATAGTAGTATTTAGAGGCAGTCAGAGAGACTGTCGGGACTCTTTCTTTGGTACGGATTTTCTTACTGTATTACTCTTGATACGTTTTAGATCTCCTATTTTAACCACTGGTTTCACCCCATAGACCGCTTACTTTATTTTAGCTTGGTTGACGATGTCAACCCATCGAGATCGTTGCTCTGCTGATCGATGCGAAGCAAGAATGCTAGTTCGCGCGTCGAAGCGGCGAAGTCCTCCAATATTTTAGCTATCTCGTTATGATCATACAAGTTACAACAACAAGAGTATTGTATATATTTGTTCTTATATTTAAATCTGGGACTCAATACTCACTTGCGAGCGTGCTAAATCGTTCAATACTGCTATACTGGTACTTCGAGATTCTTCTACATTCTATAAAGGACCCCCGGCCGTTTAAACCGCTAGTTTTTAGGTTTATAACCTACCAAGACGCGCGCCCATTCCACATAGGGCAGCTCCAAAGTATAGCAAATACTTATTCACAATCCATACCATAGAAGTATTAGTACTAGTAGAGTAGTACTAGTAGTACAGCTACTAGCGGTCTTCTGCAGAATGCTGTCATATTCATAACTAACACATTGTAAATGTCCCCACGCCGTAGAGTTCTGTTTTATTAATAACCGTTCCCAAACCGTTCCCAATTAAAAATGACATGGACACCGAAAATAAAATTGATCGCTCTACTTTTTCCATTCTTCCATCTAAAGTCCGTGATCATTTATCTGTTATCCATTACTTTGATAAATGGATTCCACATACTTTCATAGTCTAATATTCAAGCGATGGCAACTTGATTCTTAATTCTTGAATGATTTTATCTGGAGCGGGAAACACATACATACGCTGTGTCCTGTGACAAGGCATATTTTCATTGAATTATAACCACGATATCTATAACCATACAGTCGAAGGGAGGCAAATCATATAAATTATCAAAGCAATTGAGTGGAATAATGGGCATAAATCTCCGGTTTTAAAAATCAGAATCAGTAAAGGTCGACGGTAGTTAGCTACCTTGTCAAAGTCAGCTCCATGCTAGCTTGTAAAACGATAACATTTAACTATTTATTTCCGACGTTAGTTAAAGTTGAGATTAGTAAAGATCATATCATGCTATGCAATATGTATATACCTTAGCGGACTTTATTTTAACGGACAATTCTACTCGGACACTGAAGGCCTTTGTGTTCATAATATATTTAAATAAAGACTGCTTGAATAACGTCTGTCCTCTCAATCAAATCAAAGTCCGTTAAATTTTTTTCGAAACTTCTCGTTTTGGTGACAGCACTACAACATATGATCCATCCACACTCGGCCCATTTTTTATATTTGACATCACTAAATGGTAAGCAGGTGACCGTCATAATTGACCATCTGACAATTTGAAAAAGTTTATGTAAATTAGGATTAATGTAGAATATCAATTACCATCCTCCTTACCCAGATCAGAGAATCGAGTCATAGACTGATAAGAAAATCGATTAAATTTATTGTTAAGTAACATAAGAGTAGGACTGGCACCACTGCAATTGCAACACTCCCACTAAATCGCTCGCCCAAATTTTGAAAATTGATAGACCCTGACAGTATGAAAGTAACGTCAATCGATGTATTTTTGGACGATGATTCCAAATCACCCCCATGACGTAAGGTGAAAATGCTTCCCTGAGGAGTTTTGAGCAAAATAATAAAAGCTTTAGTACATGATGGTGTAAATGTAATTAATGCATTTCTAAGATATTATATAACGGACATTTAAGCTGCAAATTCTTTCAAAATTCGAGGTGGCATCTTATCTGAGATTGTTCTCTGGTTTGATTGCATTTTATTATCGAGTTTAATGTACATTCCAAAACACGATTCAATATTCTGATTGTGAGAAATACTCTAAGTAACAGATTCTTCTTGCATTTAAGATTTTGTTAGAATTAGTAATTATATATATCTGACGACACCTTTGGTTAGAGATCCATATCTCTGCTTGGAGATGTACAAATTTCTCTCCTTTGTGTAGACTGAACTATTTTTGGTGCGGGTATCACAGCAAACAAACAACAGCAAAATGAATCTGACCAACCTCATGGGGAAAAGATGGATGATAGGGAGTGTAAATTCTTGAAATTATAACACACTATAAAGCTCAATCTTGACTGTTTCCTATGTTTCATCTGTTGGTTGCTGTAAGTGTAAGCCCTGCACGAATAAATAAATAACGATATTGTAGATCTACATTTATTTTAATAGCAAAGCAGCTTTTTTGCAAGTCATTACTGGTACTATCAACCGTTATAAGTGCGATACTTGATATCCGTAAGTCTAACAGACACAGCGTTGGTACGTGATAGATTTCTAAAATATTGTGTTACTGAAATGTCAGCTGCATATTCTTACTATATTTGAGGTGGCAATTTATTTGAGATTGTTCTGTGCACCCGAACTAAGATTCTCTGGTTTTATCTAATATTCTGATTGTGAGAAATACTCTGAGTAACAGATTCTTCTTGCATATGATTGTAACGTTAGAATTCTACATTTTTTGCACTTTTTGTATTTAATTCGTTCAGCCAACTTCACCACCAGCTGGTCAGAGCACTAGGTTTTGTTGCTCACTTTTAAAAACCATGTAACATTGTTCCTCACAATATGGCTTTATCAAAAAAACTTAGTATGAACTTGAAGAACTGCTGCGATGAGAGAACTAAAAACCTTGTTGTGGCCTCGTTCTGTACGAGTCTGTTGTTGTTTGCTAGTGCGCCAGCCGGGACAATTCAAAATATAGCCCTTGCTGAGAGCACGGACATCGACCTCTCAGTCGGATATTATTCTGAGGTGGTGAAAACGGTAGCAGGTATCGTCGGAGCAATCATTTTTCATCCAGTACATAAACTGGTTGGGATCAAGGTCACTGCACTGCTGTCCACTGTTCTGGTGACTGGCAACTACTGGGTGATGGTATGGATTGTGAATAAGTATATGCTATACTTCGGAGCTGCTTTATGTGGAATGGGCTGGGGAGCGTTGTGGGTCTTGTGGCCCATGGTTGTGGTTGAAAATTCAGCAGGAGAGAAATCACAGAGGAATATGGGTTACTGGTTTATGTCAATGTCTATCGGAACGTTGATGGGGGGATTGGCAAACTACTTTTACTTCGAAGGAGTGACAAAGATATCCTCAAAAAACAGGGTCATGCTCTACACAACCTGTGCAGGTGTTACCATGTTTACTAGTCTTGTAGCTGCTTTTGGGATCACTGACATAAAGAAAAGCTCAAAACGACATCAACCACTAAAAGATGAAGATACTGAAACCGTCTCCCAGGATGATTTGGACGAAGTTACATACTCCACCAAGGGAGGGGAAGCAGATGTGAATATTATGATGCCTAGGAAACCATCTGTTGTGAATAAAGTCAAAGATTGGTTCAAAGTTATGACTAAGAAAGCTGGATTAAAAGAAGGTCTCGATTGGTTCAAAGTTATGGCGAGGATTCCTGCATTTTGGTTTTTGGTCATCCCTCTTATCTACTGGGGATTTATTTGGGGATACTTCATGAAGATACTTCCTACAGCTACAGCATCCATTTCTGATCAAAGAAACCTTATTCCTCTTACATCTGTAATAAATGGGGTATGTACCCTAGTTGGATCGTCAACTTGGAACCTTCTCTCAAAGATCACCAACAACATCTTTTGCATCATGTTTGCTTCAGCGATGCTCTTGGCATCAATCATACTTTCTATATTGATCTTCCCGAAAGGTGCAGCCTCGGAGCTTTTGGCGCTTGGTTCAGCTGAGACCTACATCACACCTGACTCCATTCACGTTGCTGTGATCTGTGCTTTGATTGGGCTGGCTGACAGTGGAGTGAGCATCATTTACTTTACAACAGCTGGACGAATTTACGGACACGAACCGGCCCTAGGGTTTGCTACGAACGCCATTGGCTACTATGTATTTTACATCTGTTCCATGTTTTCTCCTTCCCTATTCGATCTCCACACCTACTGCTACTGTATGATCGCATCAGTTGTTGCAATGTGCCTTGTATTTCCCTTCGGACTGAGAAAATACCTCGATAATAATGAATAGGTTTGATTGACGATGTCAATCCTTCGCAGCTCGGTGCGGCTCATACAGTATAACTATTAGTACTGCCTGGCTCGGTCACCAAACCGGACGGCGGACGCGCCACTGCACACTGCAAGCGCAAGGAATATGGTTTGTGGTTAGACTTAGAGCAAATAATTTGAATAAAATATCTTTTGCTAGTCATAATTTTTATTAATGCCTTGTAAATAAAATGCTAGCAACGAATAAGGTACCTCAAAAATTAGCTACTCATGCTATTCCATATTCACTATTTGCTGTTGGGTTTTATACAAAAAAATGAAACAAATGTTTGTCAGTTATATATAAGATTAGATTTTTAAAATATGTAGATTCTCTTCAAGAGTATTTCATATTTCAAGTGATTTGTTTAAATGCACATTTTGATTTTTAATCTGTTTTAAAAACTAAAACGATTTTATCTCGATTCATGATATAACTATAAGGTTAATATATTTATTGTTTATTTATTGTTTATAAACAATTGCTCTAACAAGATCGACGCAGTACCAAGTACGCGTATACACATGGCTATGTGAATATAAACAATATACACGCTATTTGGGAAATTTCATATAATCAACAATTGTATTGTGCCCCGCTCCCACTAAATCGCTCGCCCAAATTTTAAGAAAATTCTTGTGAATGTGACAACGTCAACAGTTGATTCACGATGTCAATCCTTCGCATTTCGCCGATTTGCATACGATGGTTGCGAGAACTAGAAGAATTATTTGATGCGCGGCGCGACCCAGTAGTGCATCGCGCTACAACCTCAACAGTAAAAGCCCTGAGTGTATGAAACCAATTTTATTCGGCGTATTTTTAAAAACTGATTAATCCGAATCACCCTTGACTTATGGTAAAAATTTCACCTAACCATGTGCAATTTCGCGCCGCTGCGGGCGCGCTTGTTTCACAAGTCAAGAAACCTCAGGCTCATAATTAACGGGTGATACTCGTAAAATATCTGTTCCATGGACCATCGACGAGTCCAACTCGGCGCGCGTCCTGGTAAGTTGTAAACCTACAAGCTCATAATCACGTGACCTCAGACTCATAATCACGTGACCTCAGACCCAATTAATTCATAATTAGGTTCTGGCCTGGTCAGCCCCATGTCACCCGATTTTAAAGTGACGTACGACGTACCTCCAACCTCGTTAAACAAATTAATTAAAAAGTTATGTGTTCTCTGTTTCCCGCTAGGCTCAGGGGTCATATACTTAATTACCCTTATAGAAACTGCAAAGCGCGGGAAATTTTGGCTACCAATATATGGTTGCCAAAATCGATGGGGGGGTTGGTTGCTAGAGCCCTTTTATACCGCCGTGAGGTGAGTACGCGCTACTGTGTACTGCACTAGCGCAAGGGCTCTGGATCGATAGAGCAAGGTAAAAACGCTTTCCTGGAGAGTTATATGGGCAAACAAATGTTTTGGTCACGTGACAGGCTAAACACAAATTCAATTGTTTAGGCCGCTCGAGTTAGGGTTAAGCCGCCGGGTTGTAGTTATAGTTAACTACTATACAAGCCGGTCAACTAGTAAGGTTTATGAACAGTTTCCGCGGGGTTGCTCTAATCAGGACCCTCTTGCTTGCAGTATATAGCGCGCGACCACCTGGCGCCTACTGTACTTGTGAAACAAGCGCGTCACGCAGTACGCATAGACACGTGGCTATGTAAAGCTTCGGGGTCACAGTGGCTGCGCTGCAACTAGCACACAAATTTGACGCCCCACAGTCAGTCGAACTAAGCAGACCTTATACGTCGATTTATCATTGACAACGTATGATCAATGATTTTGCCATATTTGCACAAATATTTTGTAAATGCGCAGTAACGCCGCGCACAGTCGCAACACAATTTTTGATAAAACAGCTAGGGCCAATGTTCTCCGCAATTTTTTCAATTTTCAGCCTCTTCCACAGTTTCACATACCAGGCAGCCTTAATTTGCAATACCTCTTCCACAAGAGCTCCACTCAAAAATTAGATTTCCAGAGCTCAATCTAGAATCATTTCTTTGTGTACTATTTTAAAGCGCGATCAACGCCTGATCAACCAATGTTGGTCGCACGTCAATGCATAAAAAAGCTTCCGCATTGCTTTAAATTGTTACAGTACGTTTTCCGAATTTATAAATGCTACATCATACTTGATACTACAATCTTCTTTGTTCTGTAGGGCCACATACTTATGCCGTCAGCAGTCAGCATAATTTTTGTTTTGTAGACCATCCGCTTAAACTTGTCCATAGTATAGTTCAGATTCGTCCGAAGTTTTAAAACACCCATTCCTGTATTTCCGAACTTATGAGTCACGTATTTTAACAATTGACCACAGGTTTCTATTATTCCCTGTTAACACCATTACTTTATCAACCACAAATATTCCGCTTTCGACTGTTGATTTATGTGGTTACTGGCTTTACTTGTAAAGTTGTACTTTTTAGTTAAAGATGGAGTCTGCGAGTATGAATTCTACCGAAGAAACTTCTACTTCTAATTCTCACAAGGAGATCAGGAAATACTCCTTACGAATACGAGTGAGTAAAAATGTTGAAGTTTAAATAAAACACGCTTTATATAGTTTATATAGTTTATATTTATAATATCGAGAAAAGACAATTTTTTTTGAGAAAAGACATATTTATATGTTTTGGCACGAATAATAATAATTCATAGGTCGGTCGTGAATTGCAGCTACAATTACACTGGAAATACTTTCCAGCGTGCGGTACTTTAGATTAAAAAACCGTTAAATTTTCTTTACCCGTTTTACTTTTATGCCATCTGCATTAATTACAATGTTACAGTACTAATTAACATTTCGATCGAATTTGATGAATAAAGCTTTAGTTATGGATTTTTTAAACATCTGAAACTACTTTTATTTAGCGAATCAAGAGATACAAGAAATAATGGATACCGAAAGAGAGTCGAGTGAGTCCGAATCTGATTCAGAGTTCGATCGAATCGAAACTAACGTGGACGATATAGCTGGATATAGAGATATAATAATACTTCAGTCTATCTCAAAAGGTATGATTATTATAATATTAATAGAGATATTTGTAATGGACCCGACAAGTTAAAACATTACGGAATACGGGCAATATAGGCATAAGAGTTTCGATCAGACTGCGATAACTCAATCTGAGAAATCTCTCACAAACAAAGTCTCGTAGTGTGTCCACTTTCATCGGACGTGATATGAGAGATGTCCAACACACGAAACGAAAATACAATGAATTGCCCGAGTTCAATGATCAAAATAATGTTCCGTTTGTACTAATTCTTGCTACCTATCTATCTAGTCCTTAGGTTTGCAGCTTACTCTGAATGAGTGTTGCCGACTGCCAAGGTTTAATAATGGCTTTGTGGTCGAGGTCCCTCTAGTAGAAAGTATTTAATAATTTTCAATAATATGTAATAATATAATTATGACCTGGTTTTATCAGGTCAGTCAATGAATTCTGAGAAGAGTACTACGCCAGAACCATTATTTCGGAAGAATCTAGGTCAGAATGTATATCGAGAGGAAAGTTCATCTGATTCTGATAAGGGGACGATATCAGGTAAGGGCAATTTTGTAATCTATCGATGGTCACTTAATTAAAGGCACGGTTACCGTTAAGTGTCCGTTCCTTAAGTAACCACATTAGGCGTTAAACGTGTCTTTACTGTGCCTTTATCGTGGATTGAGTGTCCGTTATGTGTGCGTTGACCATGCCGTAACATTAACTGTACCTTAAGTGACCTGTTATTGTGCTCTCGTATATTGACGTGTTACTTCGCGTGTAACTAGGCTATTTAACAGCGGAATCACAGGGCTATTATGTGTTTACCTTACTAAATACCTGTCTAGCAATGTTTACTTGTGACTTGGGAATCTTGCGGTGATTTATTTAGTTTTAGGATTACCTTACCTGATAATTAGGTTCAGCACCCTTGAGGGGCTTTATTTGGTTTACTGTCGTATCACGTGAGCCTATTGGGGGTCATGTGATTCGGTGATTTTTGTGTAGAATGTTCTTCTACGAGACCGAAGATTTTGGATATATCTCCGGTCTCGTTTCTCTTGACTCTTTGTATTACATACTGCATAGATCAAATATTATTACATAACTGTTAAACAGTATAAATCTATTACAGGAATTCCCGCTCTTGGCTAGGAAATTTGATTACGAATTTGGGCCAGACTCTAAAAACATTGATTTTCTGTGGTACGACTTGTTCCTGAATCACATTGTTGAAGGAATGAGGTAAATCTTTAAAACCAATTTCTTATGGACTGTAGGTCTGTAGAAGCATTAAAATCGGGCGTTGCTTGCCACAGGCTATCCCGAATTTAGAAGGCTTACTTTGATCTTTAACAGTATCACTGACATTGTCTCTTCCGCGGTGGTCCCAGACCACTAAACTAATATTGCCTGGGAGTTTCATGAAATGAAGTATTAGAGACGATCAAATTTTGCGTTTGTAAATAGACATTAAGTTGTCGGCTATATCGAAAGGGCAAATTAACCCTGGAAATAAAGTTCAGATTATAATTTTATTAAACGGCCAGGTAGCGTAGTTGGTTAATCATCGGATTTGTAATCGTGAGATTGCGAGTTCGAAACCCACTGCCTGCCTAGTCGTGGGGTGAGTGTCGTCGACATTCAGCTAAAGATCCTGAGTGGTCTATGCAGCCCCCCGGTCTACTCAGCCGAATATTCGAGAAATCCTGTGTGAGGGTTAAATGAGAAGCTGTCCATTGCAGCGAAGTCTCGGGCGAAGAAAGTATGGTACACACTACCTTAACCGTCACTGGCCTAATTAAATCCTAAGTCGGCTTCCTGTAATTGGCTAGTTACTCTTGTGTAACAATGTGGCTGTTGGAATACTCCAAAGTAAAATAAGTGTGAGATAAAATTCTTTTATAGGTACGTAACAGCAAAGCAAAAAAGATCAAGTCATTATACTCAGACGATTTCATTAGTTCATCGGAGCTAGGCGGGATAAATTTCTTGAAAAAAGTTATCAGAGACAGAGAGTTTCAAACTAATTACAACACTACAAATCTATTACATTTATTGAGGACCCCTAGTGGGAATTAACACCTCAATCAAATGTAGCAACCATTACAGGTTGTATGTCGATGTAAATGGTTGTTGCATGATAGTTTATATAAAGACATCCTAAAGACTATCAGACATCGTTTTTAAGAGCTGTTAACTCCCATCTATCACCTATCACCCATCTATCACCTAAAGAATATCAGACACCACTCATTCCCATCTTCTGAATTGCTGCAAAGGTACTGTAATCAACAACTAAATAACTATAAACAGTTGCATCGCTTTTAGACTCTATCCTGAATTCTTTGCATTATTGTGTTTATTTGAACTATGTCCGGTATCCCAATCAGAAATTACAGCCTTCGTGACAGACCTAACAGTGCAAAAGCAAAATGTTCTACCTGTGTATCACTAAGTCTTGAAAACGACAATTTGAGGAGACAAATTGCTCGTCTAACCAAACTTACCCAAGGCTCAGGCCATGACAAAATTGCGGTTCCATTCTCTTGCGGGGACAATGTTCTTATCTCTGAACATGAATCAGAAACTCAAAACTGTGAAGTTAGCAGTGTGACTGAACTTAATAGCAACCCATCTCTTGTGAATTCTTCTGATGTTAACAAACAATCTTCAACCAACATTGTGGGTAAGTCCATCAATCCATATCATGATTTGAGTCGAGGTGTATTCAGGTTTGTTGATACTCTCAAGTTGGATATGGAAACACAATACACACAAACGTTTAACAATAGGGCTGTAGCATACTATGGGGATTTCCCATATGCCTACAATGGAGGCTTCCATAACACAAGGCCGTTAAATGACAATCCCTTATTAAAGTCTATTTTAAAATTCAACAAAAGATGGGAGAAATGCAATATCAGCGACAATACTAAAGAATTTGTAACTGGGATACTACATCACAAATTGCATGGACAATATCTTTTTAAATTAGGAGCAGAATTACTCAGACCACTTACAAGACTGATAACTGGTCACAACGGACTAAACCACTTCCAAAATAAAATAAACTTCACCACAGCACCCTCCTGCAGCTATTGCGAATCAGAAACACATGAAACCGCATTACATTTAATTTGCGAATGTGTACGATTCACACATATTAGAATGAACAAGTTTGGTGAGGATCCAACAACTATTGATCAAGTCATACGAACCATAGCACAAACAAAAGCACTTAAGCTAACAAATCTACTAGACTTCGTCGACTACCCAGATCTCTGAACCATAGTAACCACACACCGTTACCAGGAACGAGAGCGAGGGACGACAAGGGGCTATTGCGATGCAATCTGGACAAGAGTCCAGGCTGGCTCCCTTAGTTCCAACCTCTCGGTACTGGAAACGATACATTTTCTAATCCTGATAACCCATCTCTCCAAGATACAATCATACAATAAAAGTACAATCTCATCGAACTCACATCTCTGGAGTTAAGCGCAAAGCGTCACTATGGGGCCTTCGCGATGCGAACCAGACACATAGTCTGGACTGGTACCCCAGACGCTAACGTGAAACTTACAGAGTATATAGGATATAACAACTTACTCGGGCGTAAGGAGTCGATACGGAGCTATTGCGATGCAATCCAGGCAAGTGTCTGGACTGGCTCCTAAAAACTCCAAACGCTCGGGCGAGCGGCATGGCAACTCTGATCCTTTATAAACAATTATTTTACCAAACATACAGTACGCAAAACGAACGCAGATTTCAATTCTTATATAGCGAAAAAGCCGAAGTGCGCGGAGGCCGGGGAGAGGGGCTAGCTCCGGCGCGCGCGCCGGGATAGCACCCCAACACGGTAACGCGCAGCAGAGTAGTGGGGTCGGCCACACTACCGAATACACGTGAAGCCTACCCGGGGTTTATTACCCGCACGGCTATATTATTATGCGCAGTTGAAACCTGGAGGCTCGCCGACCAGGTTCACCGGGTGGAAACTGAAGGCATATATGACTCCCATATCTGAAAGCAGGTTGGGAGCACTACGGAAAGCTTAGAAGCTCCCGTCACCTACTAACTACTAACTAACTAACTTAAAGTCTATTTTAGAACGTTTACGCTCACAGTTCCCAAGTCTGAAATTTAACAGCGCCATGATCACTAAGTATGAAAATGGCAAGCAAGGAATACCATTCCATTCAGATGATGAGAGGTCCATATCACCAGGCTCCATGATTTCCACCATATCGTTAGGAGCAACAAGAGTCCTCAGTTTTAGGTCTAAAAGCAAAGTCCACGTTGCCAATCTTACTCTCTCCCATGGCGACATAATGATTATGACTAGAAAATCTCAGGACAGCTTTGAACACAGCCTTATTCAGGACCATACTGATGACATGAGAATTAGCATTACTCTGCGCCAGATTGATGGCAGTGCAACCTTGTCTGCTCCACTCGATACCTCAAGTAAGCCTTTTGTTACTGTAAGAGAAACTGAACCCTCAATCAAAGGGAAATCATCACCCAACAAAATCACTCATAAGAGCACCGTACCCCCTGCTTCAGTCAAAAGCAAATCCCTTGCTGTGTATGTTAGCTCAAGCATGTTCTCCAAGTTAGATGCTACAAAACTATCCTCTGCTCATCAAGAAGCACATGTATTTCACTATCCTGGTGGCATTGCAAACGGTATCAATGAACGCTTCCACTCAGATGAAAGAAAGAGGTCAATTGATGCAAATAATGTGAAGACCATCGTACTCATGTGTGGAACTAATGATGTGGACTTAATCCTAGAGAGTCCTCGACACATGAGGAATAGATTAATGTCACCCGATGAGTTCACAGGAAAAGCAAAGGCCCTTGATAACACCAATCGCTCTATTGATAATCTGATCCAGTCACTTCACTCGTGGGCTCCAGCTGCAAAAATTAAGATCATAAACATTTACCAAGAGAAAGTTTTGCTAGAAATAAAGTGATAAATGACATCAATATCTTTTTATCTAAGATTCCTTCCAAATACTCGTTTGTTAGCTTTATACCCACAAAGATGAATCGATTTTTGTTTAGTGATAGATCTGGATTCAGGAAATCATCTTGTTTTAGTAGATTTGGGGAAGACAATGTGCATCTAAACAGCGATGGTATCTTTAAACTAGCAAAGCACATCAAGTACCATGCTCACCATTGAAATCGACATGACATTTCCACCTGAATATTTATTTTGATTTCAAGTTTAAAACTTTTCTATTGAAAATATTTACAGGCAGATAATTTTCACATGATTTTAACTTTTAATCAGACACAACGACTAACACGTTTTGTGAAATGACAAATATTCACAACTCAGCTGACAAATTTCATAACCTTTGCATTGGTCACTGTAACATTCAAGGTGGTCTCCTAAATTTAGCTAAAAGTAATGAACTTACTCAACTCATTCGAGATCATAAGCTAGACATACTTTCCCTAAATGAGATGAATCTTAATGATACTATTGACACAGACACCATAAATATTCCTTCCTCCTTCAACATTATGCGATGCGACAGGCCAAACAGTTCTAGGGGTGGTTGTGGCTTAATGATAAACAAAAAACTAGCTTACACAGAATTAGTTATGGATAGTAAGCTTGATAACATTGAAGCATTATGGGTGAAGCTTAAGAATAGCAAGATCAATGTTTGCTGCTTCTATCGCTCTGGAAATTATTGCAGTGTTGATAACTTTATTGAGTACATTCATTTTTGCATGAAAAAATTGAACGGGAAAAAGGTTATCTGGATTGGGGATATAAACATTGACCAGAATAATATCTCATCCACCCAGTACAAAAAATTAGATATGACCTTGAGATGTTACAATCTAGTTCAAACCATTCAAGGGATAACTAGAGTTGCCAAACGTGGAGACAATTTTACCCAGACTACTATTGATGTAATATTCACTAACTGTTATGCAGATTTTGTTCAATCTTCTGTTCTTGATGAACGTATTGGGGATCATCAAGCTATTATGTGTGAGATAGATTGTAAAGTACCTATAGCTCCTAAATTTGAAAAGGTTGAAATTAGAAATCATTGTAAACGTAATGTTAAACAATTCTTAGACTATCTAGATACCTGTTCTGATTACAGTCCACTATTGGAAAGTACAGATGTTGAAGCTATCACTGCTGGCCTTTGTCATCATATTGAACAGGCATATGCAACCTTCTTCCCTTGCAAGACCATAGAAAGGCATGAAAAGTTCATACATAAACCTTCTACTGAACTTTTAAATGCCATTAATCATACACATTTTCTTCTAAAGAAATTCCGTAAAAAGAAGGATAAGAGAGACAATGGAAATTGCAATAAATGTGGTATATGTAGCAAATGTATAAAGTGTAATGAGGCCTGGGATTGCTACAAGATTCAGAGAAATATTAGAAATAAATTAGCTAAAACCTGCAAAAAGGCTAATGTAATCGATGATCTACAAGTTAAAAGTGCCAAGAATGATCTTAAAGGGGTATGGAAAACTATCAAACTGGCATCAAATATGACCCCTGGTACAACTAATTGTCAAACTATCAATGAGAATGATCCTGAGCTATTTAACTTTCATTTTGCAAATGTTGGATCAAGATTACAAAATCAGGCCCCCAATATTGAAAGAGTTAGTTTTACTGATTTTTTACCTCCTAGAACTTCTAACATCTCATTTGATAGATTCCAAGAAATAAATGAAACTGATATCCTAATGTATGTCGAAACGCTCAAGAATGACAAGGCCTCATATGACGATGTGCCTCTATTTTTACTTAAGCAAGCTGTACCACACATAGTTGAGCCACTGACCCATATTGTCAATTTGAGCCTTAATACAGGTGTTGTACCAACCCTTTGTAAAAAAGCTAGAGTAACTCCCATCCATAAGGCAGGAATGAAAGATGATCCTAATAATTACAGGCCAATATCCATCCTTCCACTTGTAGGAAAACTTATAGAATACTTTGTCGGCAAGCAACTCACTGATTACATGGAAGAGAACAAACTTTTCATCCGGCA